GTTAAGTGCACTTCTTCCAAAAAGAATTTGTTATAAATGGCAAACATCGAGGCAATGATGGAGAATTTGTCGCAAATTTGACAAGTAAAGGTAAATAGTTATCGTATATATAGAGAGTCCATAGACTATTGCAATGGTTGATTCTTAAGAGTCTGGATGAGAAACCACTAAGGCCAGGCTATAGAAAAATGAAGAATAGAGACGGAGATTATAATTTTCACGTGAGAACGAAGTGCCATGAAATGCCAAGTTCATTGTGTGCAAAGGAACATGGAAGTGTCAAAGAGCCATTCCTGAAAGATCCTGAGATTTTATCTCAACCTTGCAATTCTGAGTTTATTCAAACTGCTCAAGTTTTCGTTGGATTTACCGAACTAGTGCTGTTACTGAGAAATATTTGGAAACTTTCATGAAAATATTTTCGTATCAAAGTTCATGTTAACCATATTTAGTGAAATAATTGAAGTCGTAAGTTTAGTGGTCTGGATCGTCAAAACAACGGCTCTACTAAACTACAATACTTCCGTTCCGAGAGCTTCTTCATGCCACAAAAAACCCAAATGGAGGCCGTTCGAGGCTATTAAAAATTCATTAACCACAGATTACCCCCAACAGTCTTTTCAGTATTAAAAGTGATGGGCAGTTTATCGGTCTAAAATTTTTCTCGAAGGTCGTTATCATCTTCAATGTAAGTACATCGGTAACTTCAAAGAGTTTTTTTTTCATTAAAATTAGAGGCTAATTTAAAGGTGTGAAAAAATTCATTGATCATTACGAACAACTTCTTTGCTACTGTCACCGAAAAAACTTTAATATTATGCTTAATTGGCCTTAGAACGAATGATGTAATATTTCATTTCGAGTGGAAATTGTTCTAATTTCAATTTTTTAAAAAAAATATTTTTTAGCGTATCTTGAGGCCGTTCTGTTATAGAACGAATTACGAACGCGACAGTTCAACTACGAACAAAGGCGACGAGCGTCGGAAAAACGAACCACGAAACTAAGTACGATTTTTTGACGAACGGCGACCAACGACCGACGACCGAGGAGAACGAGCATTTAGAGCGAGAAACAGCGAGAGGTAGACGAACCGGAACAGGTAACAAATTTGAGATAAAAAAAATGAAGCATTTTTGTCCATCTATATGTGGATGCGTCCATGAGAATGAGTTTTGATTTTAAAAAAAACTGAATGCCGTCAGGGTTAAGTCAGTTCATTTTTTATTCCAATTAACCCTCTTTTGAAATTCTCAGTTATCAAAACAGAATGCCATCTGAAAGCAAACTAACTCGCTGGAGACGTTCCTGACACTATTCTTTATATTAAGAGGCCATTTCTACACCGATAGTACAACATGTAAAGGCAGTCAAGATTCTGTTGCCTAATTTACGCAACATACACCCCAAGTCAGAGTATAAACATTATGTGAACCGTGTATGGACTCACTGCAAAAACACGAAAAGTCATGCATTATTTTAAAGGTCAAAGAAAAAAAGCGAAAATTTCTTTTCATAAAACCGAAATACAAATTTTGCTGCGACATCTTACTTTTCCCATCCTAGCAATGAAAGCTCAAAATCTGTTGGAGATTGTTTCGTTTCATTTCCTTGCATGCAATAATGGTATCAATATAGTGCCTGTCTCCTGAGTTTGAGGGGGGTCGCCGCTTTCTTAAGGTTTACGTCTGCACGAAAGTAATACTGTAATGGAAAAACAAATTTCTATTTATTCTAAATTATTTTTCGTTAAAAAACTGAACGTTCTATTTACCTTTTCTGCAAGTTGAAGTCAAACCTTCAGTCACTCGAAGTGAAACATTCTCGGTTGTTCAACCTCAATGCGAGTGAAAAACACAAGAACAGCTGCACAGCCCATTTGCTAACTTTGGCTTGCGACAATGTTGTTTGAGTAAATGTCAAGATATTTTCTAGAAATGTCTAACTCATTTCCACACTTTTATAAACAATTTCAGTATTTAGACAATATAGGTAAGACTTTGTTTATAATTTTGTAACGCTAATGAAAAAAACTACCTTTGCGAGTATTGTATGTTTGCAAATTCTGAAGTTGAATTTGTTTTAATAAGCTTAGAGAAGTAATAAAAACGAAAACTCTTGTGAGAAAAGGAGACGAAGAGAAAATATACTTTATAAAGTCAAAGGCGCACAAATAAATTCATCTTTTTTATCAGGAGCTGTTTTTATTGAAAAGTACAATTCGCGGTTTTGAATCAAACACGTTGCTCTAGTTTACATGATGCTGGTAGCATTCATTTGTGCGGTTTGCTTTTTAGCTCTTAATTCTTACCTTGTTATGTACAACGAGGCTCAACGAGACTAGGATGAAGCTGGTTCGATTGGATACAATTTCACAAACAGATCTAAGTTTCTCCAGCTTTTACCGAGGCATTTGGCAAGACTCTCTCAGTGTTTAACGCTGATAGTTGCTTTTCCCCTCTGTTGGTCTCCAAAAACAATTTCTAACAATTAAGTTCTATCTTTCAGTCAGGCGACATGTTATAAAATAACATTTGTTCCTCGGTGAATTTGTTTGCTATGTACATTTTGCAGCAATCGTTTTACTTCCTTGACAACATGAAAACACAAGGTAAGTGTTATTCCTCTATTAACGCGAAATTGAATATTCACGGGGTGCGCGTTATGACTTGCATGAAGTAAACATCTAGTTTCAAATTACCCATATTCATTTGAATACACAAAATGCTACTTTTGTATTCATCATTCTAATTTTCAGTGGGATGTATTTGGAATGCTAAGATTTTCAGAGATTGTTGACAGCCGCACCAAATTTGACTTTGATTGTCTCCAGCTTTGCAAACATTGAATTTAAGAAGTCAGAAGTACTCCAGCCGACCCAAGTCTCTTTCTAAACAAAATTAATTCCACTTACCCTTTGACCTCAAAGGGTGACTAGAATTTAATTTTTTTTTTTTGCAATATCAACCCTGAATCACACATCAAGGCCTCTCTCCTGGTCAGCACGATAAGAAATTTATAAAGAATATTAAAGAGAATGTGCATACTGATGTTTGGGTGTAAAGAGCCACAAGAAGCTAATTCAGGAGTTACTTTGTTCCCCGTTGAAGGGGGGGGGGAGTACTGAAAGGATAAGGGCTGAATGGGAAGGGATCCTTCGCTGAGGGCTTCGAATCCTGACCATGGCACAGAATTGTATAAATTGCGGAATAAGGCGCACCCTATTCCGAATTACCCTTAGGTCCCTCCCTATCTTAACTGAGGTCTCGATCTGTCGCCAAGGCCCTGAAATATTGGAATTCTGAAAAAGAGAATTCTAATCGCACAGCAATCTGTGTTCTCGTATTACAAGGGTTTGAGATAAATTTGGCATAGACCTCTCGCATGTTTTTTTTTTAAGCTCCACATGGAAAACAGCTTACAAGATAAATGTGTGGTTGCTCTCTCTAATTCATTGGTTGTACATGAACCTTTTTGTGGCACATAAATTATATTAGCTATTTAAGTAATTTTTGTAACAATTTAAAACAAGCTAAGAAAGCTCTTGTGGAGTTTGACGATACTATTAATAAATTAAACGCGGGTTTAACAGAGGGTCTTATTTTAAATAAATATAAATCTTCTGATGAAGATATAGATGCTAGAAGAAAAAAAAAGGCACGTTGTCGGAGGAAACTCACGAAAGATCGGGCGATCTGCAAACGATGGCAGGCGTTGTCAAGGAAACGGCTGCTGACCACTGCCGTGTACCACACGCTGCTATTTCACTAGTTTCCGATTCCGTTAATTGAGCGACTGTCATTAGCAAGGTACCGATAACAAAGTGAAACACCAGTAACAGTCTTGTCGCCCATGCCGCAGAGCAATAGTTTTTCGTTTAGTTTGCGGGTATCTGCTTGTCTAAAATGTTAGGGAGGGTGCTCTCTACAATTAACACTGATCGCTAAGATCTGGTTAACACCCCACAGGGCTCTGTCTGAAACGTCGTCGGATGCCAGTTACACTGAAAACTTATGAAGAGAAAATAATAGGACTAACTTATCCTTGATCTTACTTAATTTCTACCTCCGAGAACAGGCAGATCCTTCTCGCTGATACTCGCATCAAGGGGTAAAAAAAAAAAAACTTAAAGCGATTTTAAGTAGATGATTTCATTAAAATGGCATTTGACTGGGAAATATTCTATTCCCATGCTTCATCTGATATCAGGTAACTAGGGAAACCAGTATCAGGGAAAGATAAAGATTTTATACCAAAAAAGCGGTTTTTTTTAGCTATCGATCCTCAATGAATATATCTGTGAGAAAGGAAAATGAAATCATTATTTTATAATATCGGTAAAGTTAGTTTTCTATAACCTGAAAGTTTTAAGTTTTTACGTCCTGGAAGCCGGGGAGTTTAGTTCTTCTCAAAAAAATTTGATTTATTTCAATGCATATCTTATTGTATGTAATGAAGTTTTTAAGATGAACTCAGAATAATGACGATAGGGATCAGGGAGTTGGAAAGAAATGAAAAGTCACTGTGTCACTTTTTCAATTTTAAACCACTCAGAAATTCAATAAGGGACAAAGAGTTACTCTTTAATCAATCACATCCGTTATTTTTGATGTTCCTCAATATAAACTAATAAACCCAAAATGTGTTAGGAGATTTATCTTGGTCACAGAAACATCTTGAGAGATGATAAATCTGAAAGAACAAGTTTACGAAATTAATTATGGTTTCTTCAACCCACCAATATTGAGGATTAATTTACACCAAGGTTTGGATAAATTTTTTAGTGAAAATACACTACTCTTTCGAATATTTTCCATGGCGGACAAGGAAATTGTGATCGCTACAATTTCGCGCGAGGGCGCGGGGCTTGAAGACAGGTGAATTTTGCCAAATCTGATTGGCTACTCGCTAATTTGATCATTTTCTGACGATTGTGATAGGTCCGTGGACGATGATATCCGGGGACTCAGTTTAGCGAGAGGTATTCGAGAGCTCAAAACATGGCGACCGCTAACGACAAACAGTGGCAGAAAGATGCAGCCGATCAGAATTTCGATTATATGTTCAAGCTTTTGATCATTGGAAATTCTGCAGTTGGCAAGACATCGTTTCTCTTTCGGTATGCGGATGATTCCTTCACGTCTGCTTTTGTTTCAACGGTAGGAATCGATTTTAAAGTGAAGACGGTTTTTCGAAACGAGAAGCGTGTGAAACTTCAAATTTGGGATACAGGTGCGTTTGTTATTTTCTGTTCGTCTTTTCTAGTTTTTCCGAATAGCTTGTGTAATTATTTACATTATTTTACAGCCGGTCAGGAAAGATATCGAACAATAACTACTGCCTACTATCGTGGAGCAATGGGGTTTATCCTGATGTATGACATTACCAATGAAGAGTCATTTCAGGCAGTGCAAGATTGGTAAGGTTTTTTTTTATGTTTAATATTTTTCGGCGGTGATCTTAGTTCAGCCAACAAATTTCCATCTCGTTGCGATTTCACCTATGGAAAATTAATTTTAATATCTTATTTCCGTAAACCGAAAATTTCAAGCAGATTGCGATTCGTTCGGGTCAATTTCACTACATCAAAACAATTTACTTTCGAAGGTCACAGTAAAGGAAAACAGAAATTTGATTTGGGAACATCACTTCGTAAATGTCAGAAAATCAATTATTCGCCTTTGCTGACGACAAAATGTTTAACTGGAGACAGTTCTGCTCGATCGCGTCGGCCGAAGATTTATTCAAAAATTATCGAAAAATTCAAAGAATGCAAAGGTGGGAATTGAATAAATATTCTAATTTGGAAAGATTAACTTTGTACCAAGTCCTTTCGTGAGAATACGCGGTGGTTACATTCAAGGCCTTAATATTCTGTCGGGAGAAATTTTGTAAACTTTGTTGTTTCAAATGTTGGACGTGTTTATAGTTTAGAATTCTTTGTAGCACGCATGGCCAAGCTTATATTTGCATATTATAATCTTACTCGAATTTTCCTGTGGGGGCGGAAACTTCGTCCTGTTTACGACGTATCGTATAGAATTTGTATATGATTTGTATATTGTAAAAAGCTGTGAGATTACATTAAATCTCAGCTTTGTAATAGTCTTTTCTTGTGCAATTTGCTCTAGACAAGTCAACGATTAATTGAAAGATACCGCGATATCTTTAGACCAGATCAGAGACCATGTTAGTCTCGATCAAACGAGATGTACATAAATATATTTACTTTTAGCCCGGTTCATTTCATTTGCGACTGAAAACATGACAGAAGTTGGCATAAGTTTCTGTAAGATGTGCGATTAAAATTCAATCACACGTAACGCCTTGTTTACGCTTGAGTAGTAAAGGATGACAAATGAAAATTGCCAAAAGTTAACCAAGTAAACAATTTCATTCAATTAATTTTATTGAAAGTAAACTGAGGAATAAATATATCTCTTCTACTGTTTGGACTTTGTCTTTTTTGTCGCCAAATTAGTGACAAGTATGAAGCTTTTCAGAGTTTCAAGCCAACTTTAACCCTTTAAACTTTCAAGATTTGATTGTTAATTCTCCCTTCTAGTTTCTACACATTTCCTTTTAAATTAGTTACAAGAATTTAGTTTTAGATCAAGATAACAACTTCCACCAGACAATTTTGAGCATCATTACATGTGTGCTAGATGATATATGGATTTTGAAGGGTGAAGTTACATATAGATCACTTGTGGAGGTTAAAGAGCGAATTATGTGACAACTAGATTAAGCTTGTACTTATGGTGAACATGTTATAGAGTAAATAGTACCTTTTGATTGGACTCATTTCCTTGAACACAGGTCAACACAAGTGAAGACCTACTCTTGGTCGAATGCACAAGTGATCCTTGTTGGAAACAAGTGCGACATGGAGGAAGACAGAGTTGTGACTTACGAGAGAGGGAAGCAGCTTGCAGACCAGCTTGGGCTGGAGTTCTTTGAAACCAGTGCCAAGGATAATGTCAATGTCAAACAAGTGTTTGAGCGTCTGGTGGACATCATCTGTGACAAGATGTCTGAGAGTTTAGATTCTGATCCGACTATCGTTAGTGGACAGAAGCCTGGAACAACAAAGATCTCTGACAAGCCTCCTCAACAACAGGACAGTGGCTGTGCTTGTTGATCTCTGTAAATTGTTGTATCTTCTGAATAGGAATGATGTTATATTTCATTTGAAATTTTAAGGATCTTTGCAAAGTTGCAGGTTTGGTTTTGTGGCAGCTCTGTTGGTTGTTAGATAGACTGATAGAATGATAGAGTGTTATTTATGCTTAGTTCTTCTTCATCGACTAAACTGCAGTTTTTTTTTCCTACCAACCATTATTTACCTCTTGATGAAAATTTAAAGTTGGTTTTTCAACTTCTCTTAACTGATAATTTTCTTTATTCTCGTTACTTGCCCGTCTGATGGTTCATGAATTTTGTCTGAGAATTTACTTGTGGGTTACTTCCCAACATTATGACAAATTGATTCATTAATTTGATCAAATGATCATATCAATAGTAATTGACTAAAAATTTGACTCAAAACTCACCAATTAATTGTATTTCTGTTAACTATTAACTGTTGCACTTCCAAGATTCAGTTAGTCATTCTCTTCACTGTCTGCCTTAATATTCTTGTTATATTAGTTTGAAGATCTACTAATAATCTCCTAATAAGATTTTTCGTTATTCTCATCATTTGTCGGCATGATGTAGGGAGAGACTCTGTCTTGGTCATGGGTCAATTGACAAGACTATTTGATTAGCTCCCAGTTTTTCCTGACACTGCTGTTTACCTTCTTAAGGAAGATTGAATGATTCTGAGAGTTGAGACCTCAAAAACCTCAATTCGGATCTGTTTTAATTTTAAAAAATTGTACAGGAGGGGATAGCCATAACTACTTGTGACTGATAGCTCAAGGATAATATCAGTGTTATTTTTTTTCTTGAATTTGTCTTTGGTGAATGGTTTATGGTCAATCAAGTTGAGTCATGTTGTCTCACAGAATATCCCAAACCCTACCTTTGACAGGAGGAAATCTTGGTAACAAATCTACTTTCACAACCCACCTAGGGAGGCTACAATTTTCTTAATAGTGCAGTTGTCATTGCCACATATAAATCTCATATTTAGTCATATTTAAGCTTTTCCATAACCCTTTGGGTGTTATTAGCTTGAAATAAGCCATATTAGTTGTATTGTTATAATTGTGGAAATGAAAAAGTTATGCAAGTTAAATTCACCTACCAAGAAATAATTTATTTTTGTGGTCAACACAAGTGACCAATTTTGTCACAAAAAAAATGGTTTCAGAGATAAAAGCTGAATGCAAATGTATTATCTGTGAAACAGGTGTTTGTTAATTGTCAGTATTTTCTTCATGTTGCAGCTTTCTGGCCTGTAAATTTATGAAGAAATATTTTGATTTTCAAATTAGTAAGGGTTGGAAACAGCAATGATTATTGACCCTTTACTTGCAAACATCAGTATCCATATTCTCCATACTTTTCTCTATACATTTGTCTGGTAGTGGAAAGGAGAATTTGTTTAACAATCAAAACCTCTCAGGTTAGCAATAATTTTCTTTACCTTTACTCACATGAACTCAATGAATGCTTCAGCAGTATTGCTCTAAGGAAAAATTAGATTCAGGTCACTCTCAAGGTTTAAAGGGTTAAGAACAGACTGTTCACTAGCTGGCATTTTTCAAAAATTTAACCGAGTTTAAGCTTGAAATGTAACAATTTGAACTTTTTCAGTTTCATCATTATAGCTAAACAAGCCTAGAATCTGTTACAACAGGATATGTTGTAAACATAAGGGTTATTGATTTCTAAAGTGAGTAACTTCAACCCTTCCACTCCCACGATCTTATTAGTAATTCTCCTTACTGTCTGGAATACAATTCTTGTGATGCCAGTTTGGAGAATTTGGTATTGGATCAAGTAATACTTCATTTACAATTTTCTTAGTTCTCATCATTTGTCTGCATGATATAGTAAAGATACTGTAAGGATAAATAATGTATTGGTCACTACTGGAAGTGAAAGGGTTGAAAAGGTAGCTTGAGGGAACCTTACTGTCAAACTTATAAAACCATGAACAGTGGAAATATTTAAGAATGTCACTCACCAGAGAGCACATCTGTGAGGAGCAATAGTTTGTGGTTCTGATTTTTCATCTGGTAAGGAAGTTTTTGAAATATTTCCAGAGTTGACATTTTCTAAAGTTTGACTTAAGAATTTACACCTTAAACTTGCAGTTTCTGTATCTAAATTCCAAAGCAATCAATGTGGGAAACAGCTTGTAATGATTCTATTGTCACAAGCTATGTATTGGACTTTTTGCATGTTACTTTTAAGTAGCATTCACTGTGTTCTCTGCAATGTTATCTGGTGATATTCATAGAGACTATGCAAGATATATAAAGGATTTTCTAGTTGTAGTGTGCTGAAACTGATGTTTCAACAATGCTGATTTATTGATGAGCTGATTCTAACCCAAGGCATACATGGTTAAGATTTAACTTAAGTTATTAAAATGTACTTCAGTGAAGGATGTTTAAGGTATTTATAGGGAAAGAGGAATCATATGTATTCTATTAAAGGTCAATGCATGTATACAGCTGAAAAGCATTGATGTGGAACAGACAAAAGGAGAAATTTAAGTCTGGAAAAAATTATTAAACTTGAATTCAAAGAATTAGGTGTCTGCATTTTTTATTTGCTTCAGGGTTGTTTTAAGGGATGTGAGGTAAAAATCCTGAAGGTAACATTTAATGTAACATTTAATTCTCCCTGCGTCTTACAAGGAAATATGAGAAAATTGTTAAGGAGAGGTGAACAATCTATCAGTAGTCACTCAGAGCTTTTTTCCATTCCCCCTATGAATTATAGTTGAATAAGTTCAGTGTGACTTGTGAGGTTAATTTTAAAAGAAGAATGATAAAAAACTGAAGCAGCTGAAAAAATGTTGAAGAAGTGCTAAATATTTTTAGAAAGTGTTCTGAGTTGTGAGAACCTCTTCTTCAGTGCTGTTTCCAATGAAAACTGAGGCTTTGTAGAAAGAAGAATAATTTGCATGGACTTTTCTCTTACATTTTTTCTGGTCAATTACGTTGCTCCGCTCTCCGCGCGGGATTAAGAGTTATATGTGCCGTTGGGTGGATTGGATTGTCCAAAACTCATTTACCAAAAGGACAACTGAATAGAAAATAACACTATCTTCAGGGACGGGACGAACAAGTGGAAAGTAGTCATTTTCTTGGCTGCTCTAGGAACTCTGAGGCATTTTCGGTTAGCTGCGCTTGGCCGCTGCAGTAGTTAAAAGGAGCTTTTAAATTCAGCATTGAGTCGATTTCTACCGTGGGGGTATAGAAATATATACTTTTTCGATTTCCGGAAATTGAGACGTCCATATTCACCCATTCAGTCGATATCCCCTGGACTACGGGAAACACTCCAAAACACACCCGACTCCTATCGGATTCCCTCTCGGGAACGTTTCAGGATCCCGTTAGCATTCTAGTCAAGATAACACCGGGTTCCGTGCCGTTGTCACACGGGAATCCCGCTGAAAACCTGTAACTTAACGGGCCAGGAAAGCTGGTCTGTTTCCATTGAAGACGGGGACTTCGAAGGTTTTAAAAATTATAGAATTAAACAATCAGCAAAATAGACATAATGAACTTGTCTGAGAGCCACTATCTAATTCTCTATTCTTTAAATTTTGATTTTAAAATGTGGCTTCGGGCCCGATAAGTTACCGAGACTTTTCGAGGAATGGGCCCCTGGATCCTACACCCCTGTGCGTGACGGCTCGGGTAATTGGGATAAATGTGAATCGCAAGTGCCTCTGGGAAGGTTTCGGCGGGAAGAATAAGCGGCCGGGCTCCGTTGACAAACCGATGTTTCTTTCACTGTTTTGTACACACGCTTCTTCTTCGAAATCTGTTTAAAATGTACATTAAACAGGTCGTTATTGACGGTTTCAAGTCGTATGCTACACGGACGACCATCTCTGGGTTCGATCCTCAGTTTAATGCGATCACAGGCCTGAACGGCAGCGGAAAATCAAACATACTTGACTCCATTTGTTTCCTTCTTGGAATTTCGAACTTAACACAGGTAAAAGTTTACTTTCTTCCATATACTTCAGTGGTGGGAGAGTACAAGAATTATTGGAATCTTCGTTTTTATGCGACAGCAGAGTAGAGCAGAACTGTCTTGACCTTGATACGTTCAGCGTTGTACGTCGTACTCAAAATGACAGTGGTTATACAGCTGTGCAAATTACGATTTTGCCATGGTTCTAATCTTGGGTTTGTGATACCTTTTAAATCATATCTTAAAATCTTACAAGTACTGATTGCACCCTGAACTAATCAAGTTCTGACTTGTTCTCAAGTTCTGTGTGTTTATTTCAAACTATACTCGAGTTTGTTGAACAATACTTTAATTTATTATCTTTCGTAATTTATTTAGCCAGAAATCCATCTCGTTATCAATAAATAAAGCTGGGAAGTGCAGAAAACAAAATATTTACATGTTCTTTTACTCCTTCTGCATCTCTTTGCAAGGTATTCTTGAAGGCTGATTTTCATAGGTCGGGAAAATCCTAGCCAGATTATCAAGGATGTCACTGATTCCTTACCATCTCAGAGTTCTCTGACCTATGAAAACGCTAAATTGAAGACATTCCCAATTGTTTGCAATGATTGGTGATCATAAGATAAATATGAAAACTCCCATTTTTTCAAGTACCCTGAGTCCAAAATCATATGCTATCTGTAATGCACAATTCTTTTCTAGAAGAGTGGCTGGTAATTGAGCCTAACATGTCTCTAATTCATATTGTAGTAGCCCATTAAGAAATATAGTAGTAGCCCATTAAGCCAAAAAAATTTGGATGTATGACTGTACAAGGTGCTACTTTTAACATGCGTGGTCAACTGTACCATGGGCACGCCAATGCCACGTCTTTGTCCAGTAGTCCAGTGGTTAGTGCGCTGGGCTCCAAGTTGGACGACCTAGGTTTTTTCCTGGCCGGGGTAAGGCATTATGCCCTTGAGATGCATGGGAAAAAAAAATGCGAGCTCCGCTTTTAGGCCTGGCTAAATCTATATATTACTTCTAGGTACGGGCAAGCAGTTTACAAGAACTGGTGTACAAAGGTGGACAGGCAGGGGTAACCAAAGCTACAGTTACAATCACCTTTGACAATACAGACAAGAAGCAGAGCCCTTTAGGATATGAATCTTTTGAAGAAATTACAGTCTCTAGACAGGTGAGGTCATTCTTGATGATGTCTTAGTTTTTAAAAGAGGTTCTACAAACTTTGAACACTGATGAGATTCAAACATTTCAACTATGTGCTGACCAATCACAATAATGTTCAGGACATGATGCAAGCACACACTTGAAATCTATAGACTTGATCTTCGATCCACAGTTGTTTTGAGAATCAAGGATCAAGTTTCAAAGGAGTGTCAACTTACTTTTAAGCAGTCCTCTACTTACAGTTGCTGTTGTGGTTTAGTTTCCTCATGTCTGATTTGTTTCTTGATTAGAACAGAAATGGAAAATGAAAATGTTATACTTTTCTGTGTTTCCTGGTAATTAAATTTGTGAGTCAAAAGCATTTGTTATGGTTAAAATAACTGTATTATTACATTCAATCAAGGTTGGTTATTGGAGGCAGGAACAAGTATCTAATGAATGGCTGCAATGCTAACAACACCAGAGTTCAAGACTTGTTTCGTTCAGTTCAGCTTAATGTAAACAATCCTCACTTTCTTATCATGCAGGTTAGTAATGAAGCTGTTCATTACCAACAGTAATTTTTCAGTTGACCCTCTACACCTTAACATCAGTATGCATATTCTCCACACTGTTCACTATACATTCCCTGAGGTGCTGACAAAGAGAAATTTTTAAACAATCAATAGTTTCTTTAGTTGGTTATTGTTTCTTTTATTCTCATAAATTTTCTGTTTGATTTGGGGATGCTGTGGTAAGGAGAAATTAGATGCTTGTCACTCTTAGGGGTCAAAGGGTTAAGGAAGTTGAATTTTATTGGCATACAATGAGATTTACGTAATTAATTGATATACATGAATGAAATCAGTATTTATCAACTTAACAGTGTTAATGTAGATGTATTAGTAACTATTCCATTTTTTGCCCGAGGTTCACAGCTTTGTACAAAAGTACCTTTCTATTGCTGTTATTTTAATTAAGTATTGCTGCTTACCTTCTTGTTTTAGGGCAGAATAACTAAAGTGCTGAATATGAAACCACCTGAAGTAAGTTTACAGTAACATAGCTAGTTCCTTTACTCTTTATAACCCACGATCAGTATGTGTATTCTCCATACTGTTCTCTATACATTTCTTTAGGTGCTGATTTGGAGAAGTTGTTCAACAATCAAAAACTTCTTGAGTTGGTGATCATTTCCTTAATGTGTAATTCAAGGGTAACATTGCAAGGAGACATTAGATGCTAGTCACTCTTATATAATATAGTCTGTTGTGTCAGTCTTCTTCTGTTTCTTTATCTGGTGGACTGAAGGTCCATTCAAATTGCCAATGTACTTGTACTCACACACCAAAACTTTTAAATTTGCATAGCTACATGTACCAAGATTTAGCAAGAAATTTTTCCTACTAGCTGTTGTAGATTTTCTTAACAAATTAAAAACAATTTGGTGTTATTTCAATACGAACACCATCAGTTAAAATCCTTTCACCTTTATTTACTAAAGTTGTGAGAGGTTGCGTGTTGATGCCTTGTGGGAAGAAAAAGCATGGAAGTGGGAACTTAGGGGAGAAGAAATGGAAGGCTCGTTCTGTAATATCCTATTTTTCCTCACCAGATACTGTCTATGATAGAGGAAGCTGCTGGAACAAGAATGTATGAGAGTAAAAAGCTGTCAGCACAGCGCACCATTGAGAAAAAAGACAGCAAACTGCAAGAGATTGAAACTGTAAGAAAATAAATTTTATTATGAAAAACCAGATATATTAAATAAAATGAGAAGGGTAGTTAATTTTGAGCCTGGTTGTGAGATAAAGAAAGTTGTCATTAGTGTGAGATAATGAAAAATATAAGTCTTCCATAGGGTATTGAATCTCAGATCTTTGGATTTCATTTTCCAATGCTCTGAGAAATGTCAAAAGTGTCATGTGAGTAAATATTAATAGGAAAGAAAGGAAGTAAATTTGAGTTCAGTTGTTGAGAAAGATGTTAAAAATTCAGTTTGTCTTGAGCAGAGGACAGTGTCACATGTCAACCCAGAGTGTAGTAATGACCACATGTAGCTTAGTAGCCTAGTGAGATTGTGTGCATGCACAAATATTTGATAGATTATAGATTCTTATGTGTACATGTACTGGTGTAACTGTATATTTTACTAGATTCTTGCAGAAGAAATAACTCCAACCTTGACCAAACTTAAAGAGGTGAGTCTAACAAAGATTATTTATCACTTCCCCTCAACTTTTTTAAGGATGAATGCAAAAAAGTATCAACATTAATCCATCTTTATACTATATGTAATCTGTTGTGTAGCACAGGTTACAAATTCTTGGTGTAAGTACAGTGTGCTTTGTAACTGTGAAAACATAAGTTGTGATATCTGCATTGCCATTGCTTGTTAGAACAAACTTATCTTACACATTTGTCCTTTAATTTCCAATTATTACTTTTATCAGGAGAGGGCATCTTATCTTGAATATCAAAAAGTCATGAGAGAGGTGGAGCATCTTTCAAGACTCTATATAGCTCATCAATTTGTGATGGCAGAGGTAAAAATTTTAGGGATTACATGAACAATTAAGAGCCCAAGAGTTAGTCAATATTATGGTCAATATTATTACCACTAGTTGGTAAATGGTAAACCAACATGCAATTAAAAGTTATACTGTATGTAGTTCTCGATGGGGTTAAGATGTTGACCTACTATCAGGACATTTACATGTGGAAAGTTTTTTTCCCAGTCAGACAGGAGTCAGCTGTTTTTTTGGTTAATTTATTAACTATGACTCTCTGTAGTATATACATGTAACCTCCTATAAGATTTAATTTTACAGGATTAGCACTTTATGAACAGGTGTTATGCTCTATTTAATTACTTCATGAATTTTTGTCTCAGGATGTGCAGAAAAAGGCTGGAGTTGAACTAGAGAACATTAAACAAGAGAATGTCAAACTGAAAAAGAGATGTGAAGAGGTAATAGAGTCTGGTTCTTTCTAAGTTCATTTTGAGACATGCATTTATTTATACATTGTTTTGTTTTGTACCTGTCTCTTGCAGATTGAAGGAAAAGTTAAAGAACTAAGTGCAGTCATCTCTGAATTAGAGAAGAAAAAGATTGCTGTAAGTCTTTTCAATACTGATAACAGTCTTCCTCAATTGAAATCATTGAGTTTTGGATACTGCACTTGATAACACACCTCTAACCAGTATGGTGCAGCTAAAAAATACATGACAACTGAACATCTTTATGACATTATGCAAAGCACTTCATCCTGCAATTTTTCCTTTCCTCCTTCTTGAAATGAAGTGTTGCTTGATGAAAGCCCTCAGTGACTCTTATGGACAGCTAGCCTCTCATTTCACATCATCTTGTACATGCATTTCCTGGTGAAAAAAGTGAATATGAAGTTGCATAAAAAGTCACTTTAATCCTTATTCTGCACTAGCCTTTACATGATGTAATTTTACATACCTTACATGGCTAATTAATCCTTGTCTTGCATGCTTCCCTTTTGTATCTCTTTTCTCTCATTCTCTCCCCAGTGAGTATTTGTCACAGTATACAAATGTTAGTTTGTTATTTTACATAATATTATACTTTTAAATTTTCAATATTTTACTTTTCTGTCGTTCAACAGGAGTCTGGATCAGCCCTGAAAAAACTTGAAAATAGACTTGAGGAGGTTTCAAAGGTAATAGATATGACTTGTGTGTTGCGTTTGTTCACCCTTAGTTACACCTCACTAAATTGAATTAACCATGCAGAGCTGTGATATCAGATTTTGTATATTTTATGTATAAAGGACAATGTACAGCTGTAGGTGCTAACTTGCAAATGTTCTAACTCAACCTGATTTGAAAATGTTTACAGCATCATTTGAAGCAAGCAAAGGTTCCAATGTTTTTTAGCATCACACTTTTCAGTTTATCTTTTTGTTGAGTCTTCTTGGTGGTACCTTGATTTATTGACTGAAGAAACAATGAAACACTGGTGAAGTTCCCTAGCTGTCAGCACTTCGAATTCTTTTTGTGTGTAATCATGTAGTATTTACCAGTATTTTGGGTAGTTTTAAGTTTTGTCTTCTTTGGCAGGTTGATGTTAAGACAGAATCTGATTTGAAACACATGAAGGACACTTTGGCAACTGAGAAGAAGAAGAAAAAAGCACTCCTGAAAAGCCTTGATGATGTGAGTAGATAAGCATTTGCAGCTTGAGAGGTTTCTTCTGCACTTTTTTACATGAGTGGTTCCTGTTACTGTTATAGGAAGGGTTTGGTTTAGTAAACATATACATTTCTAATGGCCTATTATCATGAGAACTTATACCAGTTTCATATACATGAAGCAACCTGGAGCAAAGCCACTTTTGCTGTATGAGATGCCAATCCTTTTAGGTAACACATACCCCCATTCCCCAATGCACTAGCAAGTTTCCAAAACAATTTGGTGGTACTCATTTGTACTCCTTTGCAGAGAATGGACAGTGTGAGAATGATACATAGTGGTTCTCTTAACTGTTCTTTATGCATATGGTACTGTCCCTAATGCTTGATTCAGGGCTGGTATTGTTGGGAGAAATTAGATGCTTACTCTTGGGGATTAAAGGGTTTAATAGTGTATGTGAAAAAATTATGGGCTTCTGATTGGCTGAAAACAAGTGCAATGTAAGGTAACATAGGTGCAAAGTTGTTACACAAAAGCAAATTACAAATAGTGCATGTACTCTTTCAAAATTTTCGTCTGTCCTGACTTTCTGTGATGTTTTTTCATATACATTATTAACAATTAATAGCATGATTTCTCTTGCAATTTGGTGTAATATGCACTTGTAAATTTTACAATGACCACATATTGCACTCGCCTGTTCTGTTGTCTTTGAAAAATTTACTTGTGATTATTAACACCAAATTGCACTTGAAGTCATGCTATTACCTGTACAAAATTCCATATCAATTGCTCAGGATCAAGCTCAATTAAAGAACAAAGAAAAAGAGCTGAAGAAGCGGAATGACCTTCTCATCAAACTGGAAGAAAAGAGTCAAGAAGACAGCAAGGCACTGAAAATAGCACAGGATCATTTCCATGCAGTGTCAGCAGGGCTATCCAGCAATGAAGATGGCGAAGACAAGACTCTTGCAGACCAGATCATGAGTAAGTCCATGAACTTTTGTTGACTCACAAGGTACAGCACATTTGTGCTCTTTCATCATCTGAGGCTTTCTTATTTTGTCATGAACTTTTGGAAAATTAATGTATGTAGTTCCTTACCATGTTTTATAGTCAAGCTTCAAACCAATCCATTTATTAAGATAATTATCCAAACAGCACCTTGATAGTTTTACTTTGACCATGCTTTTAAACAAGGAATGTTTGCAATACTACATATGAATATGAAACAAACTTATTACATGTCAGGATAGCATAATAGTTACTGTAACTTGGATATTCTAATTGATTTTAACAACATACTATCAATATTTTTTTATTATATAGCTTTTAAGAGTGAAATAAGCTCTGCTGAAACTGAATCTAAGCAAGGCCAGATGAGGCAAGTAACCTTAGGAAATAGTTTTCCTGATGCCTTTACATCAACTGCTTGCAATGTATCTTCTCTAGTAATCATATATTACAATTTATGGCTCAGCATATGTGTACTGTACAATTAAAAGTACAACAAGAGTGAAAGGATAGCTTGTAAAAAGGTTACAGACCCCATAGAAAATAAGTTTATTGTTAGGGTTAGGGTATTTTATTCAGCTGTTATTCTGTAAGGAAAAAAAGGAAGCTAGTCACACATAGATGATGAAGGATTAAAAAAGAAGAGAAATAAGAATAAGAAAATTAAGAAGTTGTTAACAGATCTACGTATATTTTACTAAATACATACAATTGACTTTTATCAGTAGCTCAATACCTGGTACTTAACATTTTTGTTTCAGACTCAAACATGCCCAGACAGAGTTGAAGAAGAAACAATCTGAGCTGAAGAACACAGAGAAGAGCTATAAGAAGGACAAGGATGTTTATGATGCAATTGAAAAGAGTAAATCCAAACTTGAGGTTTGTCATTCTCTAACTTTTAATGGTTTGTGAGAATCAGGCAAATTTTCATTCCCTTGTCTTACCTGATCACCCAAATTTTCAGGTCTAGGCTAATTGCTGTTAATTTGTAATGATTTTTTCCATATTTTTATAAGGTTGCTGAATTGTTTTTTTTTAGGATGAAATGAAGAAATTGAAGTATGAAGAGGGAAAAGAGGAAAAAGAGGAAAAACTTATTGCCAAAAGGTATATTATTTTGTACTTAGATGCATTGAAATTAGCTTCCAATCCTGTTCCTCTTTCACTTTGTAAATTCCTTTTTCAGGCGTGAGCTGGAGGCTGAGGTTTCTGCGCTAAGGACCAAAGTGGAAACTCTGGAGGCAAAGTACGTTCCACATGCTTCTACAAAAATGTCAATGCTATCCACTTGACTTTGACAAAATATTGGTTGCAACCTTTGTGTTATGCATTGAGATTTCTTTCAATGATTTCAATTTTAAAAAAAGTTTCATTAACATTTAGTTTACATGTACTACTTCTTGTTTCAGATTTCCAAACCTTCAGTTTGATTACAGAGATCCAGAAACAGGATTTGATCGCAAGAAGGTGAGGTGAAAAATGGGTATTCTAATCAGGAAAATTTATCAATTGTTGGGTGTGATGGGTTTCAAAACAAAAGTATAGTCACTTGTAAACTTAAGTATGAAGAGGATATAATTTATTTGAACTTTGAAAAAGGAAAGGCTAAGGAGAGGCCAGTCTTTTGCAACAGTTTGGTGGCTGGGTTTGTTATTGCAAAAGAGGATGATCCAAAGTATACTTACAGAGATTCTGAAAGTGGTGGGAACTTTAGGATAAGAACTTTTACGTTGTACTGAAGGGCAAATCATTCTGGGCTACGAAATCTGAGGATGGTGCTGATGTATCAGGTTTCTCTACAGATATCTCAGATATCAACTTTTTTTTTTATCTTCACAACACATTTAGGATCTTGATGCATTTTATGAGTATGAATTTGTTAAAAACAGCAATGTGATGACGTTGAACATTTTCTTTTGATAGGTGAAAGGTCTAGTGGCACAACTGATTCAAGTCAAAGATGTCTCTTCTGCTACAGGTCTGGAGGTGACTGCTGGAGGAAAGGTAAGGTTTGTTTTGAAAAATTACCTATAACAGTGTTCTACTTTTCAGGCAGTAACTAGTAACATTCACTGCCTATAGTATCTCTTATTACCGTTTAAAATTGCTTGGAATTCTTGAAAATTCAAAAGGTAAAAGGATTGCTTTACCGGTTTGAAAATTTATTTTACCTGTTATGCTTAAAATAAGGCAGAACACTGTATAAGCAGTATAACCTAGTTGAAAACATTATTATTTAACCTGAACCTGTAACTGGACAGAAGCTATTCAGTTTTGAGAATGTCAGTGAAGTATCACAGAAAAGGAATCCTAAATTTCCTTTCATTGTTGGAAATTTGATGAAAATAGTAGTATCTATGTCAAATCTGATGCATCTTTAAAAAGAAATTTAAAAAAATATAATTATTGTTGATACATGTACACAAAGGTAAAAAGAGTATCATTCTACTGTGTTAAATAACAAAGTTTTCTCCAGTCTACTTTGTTTGTATACTCAGTAAGTCAAAATACAGGCTCCACTTGTTCAGAGGGTGGACACCATTAGCCACTGGATAAATCGCTATTTGCTGGATAGCGCAATTCATTTGATAGCATTATCCTCCCTTTGAACAATTTGGCCCAGGTGTGTATCAAATGATACTGTAATTTGACTCATGTATACAAGTGTTTACACACAGTGTAAATATACTGTTTTCCACATGAGCATAATGTTTTTTCATCTTTTAGCTCTATAATGTTGTGATAGACAATGAAGTGACTGGCAAAAAGTTAATAAGCAATGGCAAACTCAAGCGCCGCTACACATTTATTCCACTGAATAAAATTGCTTCCAGAACTCTTTCAAATGATGTTGTGAAAAGAGCAGAAAGCTTGGTGAGTGTAGATTAAAGATTAGACTGTTTCTCTTCCATAATCAGTCATCTATTGCCATCACTCCTTTTATTTAGCTCAATTTGTTCACAACAAACAAACTTATTTGGTGTTTTAATGGAGAGTATGGGTGATCTGTAGTTTCATGTACAGTGTAGTTCTCTAATTTCATTTTTATGTTAGAAAAGCTTTGAAATTTTGTTTAGGCCAATTAAAAGATGTTGGAAACAAGAAAAGTGAAAAATAACCTTTTGAGAATAATTATGAACTACATGTAATTTGATTTGAAGCATTTTTGTTCTTAAACCTGAGAAGTGTAATGATTTTGTGTTTGTAACACGTCTTCATAATCATGTCAGTACATTAAATTACACATTGATTGTTTCCACAAGGATGGACAGATCCTTTTTCTACTGTAAGAAAATGCTTTAATTGCTATTAATTAAATCATCATTGTTTTATTTCTGGATACTGTTAGGTTGGTAAGGACAATGTCAACCTTGCTTTGTCCCTTGTTGGTTATGATGAAGAGGTCAAAGCAGCTATGGCTTATGTGTTTGGGACTACTTTTGTATGCAATGACATGGATAATGCTAAAAAGGTATTTTGAAGATGTTAGTTGCTTAATATTTTAAGAATTACATTTGAAAAAGCTCCAACTGGGCTGTGTTAGAGCACTGGTTGTTGTTTACTGAAGTTGTCATCACTAATTTTGAGATTGTTTTTAAGAAAATGTTGTGCTTAAGTGCTTCCAACAATTCCTGATAGGTAAGGTGAAATCCTTTAATGAGACTGACTGCATAACTGCAAGAGACGTCTCGAGTTTTTCTCATGATGAGTTAAAACATGGAAAATTAAACGATATTTAGGGTGAACATTGGACATTGTAAAATCTAGTGGTCCTGAGTTCAAGTCCACCGTAAAGACTCATCATGTCAATCGCCATTTTTTGAAAACTTGGTTTTTCTTTAGTAAAAAGCATTTCTTTTTATTTGTTCAAAGTTTATAAGGATCTCAGCAGGGCTGAATAAAGCTGAAGTAACCAATGACTCAATTGGTCCAATTTTGTTCATTTGCGTCTCCTGTCGCGATGTTTTGGGAGTTCAACTCCTCGGCAGGGCTCTAAATGCCAACTGGTCAGTCATGGGTAAAGCTATGTTTACTTCAGTCACTATTGGATGGCGATGGAGAAGAGTATTGCGAATAAGTATACTGATGTTAGGTTTTAAAGGTTTAAGACAGGCATTGTGATAGTAAAGTGTCTTGCTCAGGAGAACAACATGAGTGGCTTAAACTAAGGACTTAAAAGAAAATATTAAAATTAATGGTGTAATGTGTCACCATGCTAACTGCAGGTCACCTATGATCCCAAAGTGCAAGCAAGGTCAGTGACCTTAGGTGGAGACTTATTTGATCCTCAAGGAACAGCCACGGGAGGTACAGTATGTGCAATTGAAGTGTCACACATTCATGCAAGACACCTGTAACATGTGAATTGGAGTACATGTTTTATCAGTTTGGAAAGGGTAGCGAGATAAACGCCCTCGGAAATACGCCCAACCTAAACTGCCCATTTCCCCCTTTTGCTTGTCTTTCTTTCTGTTTTTATTTCTTTGTTTTGTTTCATGACTGGTATCATAGCCACATCATGTTCCATGCATTTCAGGTGCACGGGCATCGCATTCCTCAATCCTGGTCAAGCTGCAGGAATTGAATGAGGCACAAGCGACTCTACAAGGCAAAAGTACAGAGCTACAAAATGTTGTCCAGGAGCTGGACGCCTATAAGAAAATGGCAGAAAAGTAAGCAACTCTTACCTTTGACAACCATTTTATATGTTCATGAAGAATTAAGGCAGGTTTAAAGACAACTTTGCCTCGTATTTTGCCCCTCAGATATCGCCAGATAAAACAGCAGTATGATTTGAAAGTTCATGAAGCTGAACTTGTCCAGGCTCGCCTGAAGCAAAGTACTCATCATCATCAACTGGAGGAGGTTGAAGCTTTGCAGAAAACAGTTGGTAGGTTACCTGCTTGTTCGATTTGAAATTCCTTGGACACAAACGCTCCTGAGATCGTAAATGCAGTAACGTTTCTATGACCTGTGTACTGTATGTGTATTGTGGATAGCCTCGATAGTCAATTGATGGTCGCTCGAAAGTCGATCGTTGAGACTCGATCAACAATCGGTCGATAGTCGAAAAGAACAAGGTTTTAAAAATGGTAAAATTTTGAGAACAATGCATTCAACTGCGAACATTCCATGCAACTGCAACCTTGGCCAAACTCAAAATGTATTTCACCTGATTGATGTTGTGCTTAATTCATACACTTTTCAGACGAACAGCAAGAATTGATATCAAAGGCGAAAGAAACAATAGCAGTGGCAACTGAGAAGTGCAAAGATGTTGAAAAGAAGATGAAGGTTTGACTTAGTTCTTGTAATAATGTATTACTCTTTGGAAACGCACTTACTGGATGAACTTTAACCCTCTACACACTTACATCAGTATGCATATTCTCCATACTGTTCTCTAAACATTTCCTAAGATGCTGACAAGGAGAATTTGTCTAACAATCAACAGCTTCTTTAGTTGGTGATCAGCTCCTTTATTCTCCTGACCTTAATATTTGATTCAGGGTTAAAGGGTTAAGATAAGAGAGGTAACTTTCTTTATAATAAAGTTATGATATAACGCGCGCTGTCATTGGTTGAAAGAGCGTGCTCTATGAAAGTATAGAGCATAGAACTGAGCTAAAGCTGTCACGCCATCTGCCAAATTGTACTATGTTCGACCTTTTCCGGGACTTCTTTTTAGCTTTTTTCCGATAATTGAAAGTGAAATTTCGGAACAAGCGAGCCGGCAAATAGCAACAGAAGAACCAAACAAAGGTTTGTAAACACACCAGGCGCCGTAATTTTACGTCATTAAAACGTGAGCAGATATGAAAATCCTCAAAGGAAAAACAGTTCATGTTCACATTCTGCGATAGTTTACAAAACTATCGCAGAATAAAGCACGCAGGAAGCGGCTAGAACACGAAAGAAGTGTAGGGAGAAACACTCGACTACGTCTCGTGTTTCTCCCCACTTCTTGAGCAACACAGAAAGAAAAACAGGAGTGGAAAAATAAGAGCTTGCTCTGATTACCTTTCCGATGTGTTGAGTGGAAGGCCACATCAGTCACTGCAGCCGAGTTTTACGGCGCTGTCATTCCGAGCGATCTTCATGCCCCAGTGAATTCGGCTGTTGTTCATTCATAATACACTCGCCTTGAACAGTTTGTTTTCTACTTGTCTTGTGAAATAACTTGCGTATTTTAGTGAGCCACGATTGGGCCGAATTTCACTGAACATTTCACTTTCAGATTCTGTATTAGAAACCAAAAAACTTCAAGCGAAAGTGTTAAATTTTCGACATGCCGAACTATTTAGTTTGTAAGAATATGAATATGAATTTGAACTTTGATGGTTTGACATATTTGACAGCTTTAGTCTTGTACAGCCAACCAGATTATTTGACCCATTCTAACAGGGATTCTGATTGGCTTATTGTAGCGTGCTTTATGAGAGTATAGAGCATGTTGACGACACTGTTGTTCGCTTTGGAAATAAAGTTTGTTTTGAAAATTGAATGTAATTCTTGGGGAATTTAACGGATTCTTTATTATAAAACAAATAGAAACTGTGGTGCTGCGTTGGTGGGGGTATTAAAAGATAAACTGGTTTTATCATCTGAGTTGAAAATGTAAATTTGCCAACTTAAAGAATATCTAAAGCTTATGATAGTCAGTTCATGCTGAAAGCCACATTTGACTTGATTTCAGGAAGCAAAATCTCATCGTGAAAAAGAACTCAAGACAGCTGAGGAAGAGGTGAAAAAGAGTAAGAAAAAAGCTGAGGAGTCAACAAAGAATATGAAAGCAAAGCAACAGGTAACTTTCGTAGCTCCCTTTAACTGATCTGCTATACATTGATTGAAACATACTCAACTTACTGCTGATATTCTGTAGGAAGTCGAGGAGATGAAGTTAGAAATGGAAGAGCTGAAAAATGAAGGGGCTAAAGTCGATGAGCAAGTAAGTACAGTAGTGTTCAGGAAGGCTTAATTATTTTCCCTTAAAGTCTCTTGCTTAACCCTTTACTTCTAACATCGATATGTATATTCTCTTTACACTGCCCCATGGCACTGACAAAGAGAATTTGTTTTACAGTCCAGAGATTCTTAAGTTGCCAATCATTTCCTCTACTCTCATGACCTAAGTTTTTGATTTAACAGTGATACTGTGAGGAGAAATTCCATGCTAGTCATTCTCGGGACTTAGAGTTAACGTTTTGTTACGTGTCCAAGAGAATTAGAGTCTAGGGTGTTAAGTTTTGGGTAATAATCTTTTTTTAACACAGGTCAAAGCAGTCGATGAAGCAATTTCAAAAGCTGAGGAGCAAATTGAAAAAATTTCTGAGAGGGCGAAGGAAACAAAGGTGCCTTTGAGTTTGTACTTCATGTTAACTTTGAAAGGTTGTTTTAGTAGGACCTGATGAATAAGCTTTGCTTTTTCTTTCTCTTTTCGGGTGTGCGCCGAAAAAGGACTATTGCAGTATAGGGGAACAATTCTACCCTTTTTCAACCGGCGAGGAGCAAAAATTAATATACATATAAAAAGGCGTGACTTACTAATTTTCACGTGTGTGGATCGAACTACGCGATTTCCCGTTATTAGCGTCTGCGCAGTTTTTGTAGATCTTTTACTTGTTCTTTGCTGTGGCCACTTCTGATTTCTTGGATTTTGTATTATTACCTTTACTAGGAAACTGCTCAATCGATGTATCATAATATTGTCTTATCTCGTCTTTCCATATTAGAAAGCAGTCGAAGAGGCCGCTAAAGAGCTAGATAAACAGAAGGAAGCCCTCAGATCGTGTAATGAGGTACACTGCTTACGCTCCCCTTAACTTCTTGGTCTTGTACCCCTTTAACACTAGCAAAACACATTTTGTTAATACGGGGTTTAACTGAAAAAAAATCAGAAAGAGAGAACTGAATCATCCGTGGGTTTCAAGTAGTCACTAACTTTTATTTTCAATGTGCTAAATTTGAAGGCGACAAACATTGGCTTAAGCAGCTTCTTTGAAGACGACAACTTTCAACCGTGTTTAACAAAACAGCTTGAGGCATTAGTTTAACAATTTCCTAAATGTGTCAAATGCAACCTGAACCATGTTCCTCGTTTCAGTCTTTATTTCATAATATGTCGATGAACTAAGTACATATCAATGGCCTGGCAGGAACTTCACGCACGTTTTGACGCGAAATTGTGCGTGTTTTGACGTGAAAATGTGCATCTCCGTTTCTTTAAAACCGAAACTCAGCTTCTTGGGTAAAAATGTAAACCATAATTTGACCTTGCACTGTGCCTAATGTTCTTGTTTTTGATGTTACAGGCCATTGAAGAGAAAGTGCAGGAACAGCAAGGCCTACAGAAACAAGGTCAGGATATTCAGCTGGAGCTTAAGGAGATGGATTATAAAGTGAACAAATTTCAACGCGATAGTAAAGAAGCTGCGTCAAAGGTAATATTGTTGTGTCTAAATAGTAAGCGCATCATGTTTACCGTGCATGGATGAAAGTTTCTCAATATAAATATAACATCTACAAAATTCATTTTTTACCTCATCAGGTGGAACAAATGTTGCAAAAATACGACTGGATCGCCAGTGAGAGGAATTTTTTCGGTCAACCGAACAGTGCTTTCGATTTTGCCGCTAACGACATGAAGGATGTCTCTAGACGGCTCAGTAAACTGCAAGAAACGAAAGACAAACTGGGAAAGAACGTGAACATGCGAGCCATGAATATGCTTGGAAAAGCTGAAGAGAAGGTAGTGATACTGCAGGGAAACATTTGAATGCCAATTACTCTTAGAGGTGTAAAAGGTTAATAACTGGATATTGCCATGGTTGTTTTTGTCGTTTTTAATGCAAAATTCATTACCATTTTCTTATGTTTTATCTAATTAATTTGTTTAAGTTATTTCTAATATAATGTTTTACTCCTGAACAGTACAATGATTTAATAAAAAAGAAGCGAATTGTCCTGAACGACAAAGATAAGATTGCATTAGTCATCAAAGAACTTGATGAGAAGAAGAACGAAGCCCTAAGGAACGCTTGGAAGAAAGTGAACAAGGCAAGGTGTTCTACGATGTTGTCTTTCCTTCGAAATAAGTAATCTAAATAAATTTCATATTTCCTCAAAACTATCTACATTTCCGGATAATTTGGTTTTATCAACTTAGTTGACGATGTAAATTAGGCCACCGTATCGTAGCCCATCGTCATTCGCTCTGACGAAGGGCTAAGCCTCGAGACTTCAACTTTAGAACAGCTTTAAGGTGGTCAATACACATTATCAACTCATTTGACGTAACCAAAGCATCTTGTAATAGCCCCCACGGACGCAGCAACACAGTTGCCATAGAAACTAACAGTCTATATCTATATTTCCGCATTGACATTTTCTAATCAATTAGCCTTTTATTCTTTTTTCGTTTTAGGATTTTGGCTCGATATTTTCTACTCTTCTTCCTGGAACCACAGCAAAGCTGGCTCCTCCAGAAGGACAAACGGAACTCGATGGGCTGGAGGTGAAAGTGGCTTTCGGAAACGTTTGGAAGGAAAGTCTCAGTGAACTAAGTGGTGGACAAAGGTTGGTTTATTGTGCTGTAAACTGATGGAAATACTATAAGCAATCCCTCTGTTTTTGTGTTTTGTTTTATTCACTCGTGTGTTATTTCCTTTCGCAGGTCTTTAGTCGCGCTATCACTCATCCTATCCATGTTGCTCTTCAAACCTGCTCCTCTGTACATCCTTGATGAAGTAGATGCCGCCCTGGATCTGTCTCACACACAAAACATCGGCCAAATGCTCAGAGCCCACTTTAAGCATTCCCAGTTCATTGTAGTGTCTTTAAAAGATGGCATGTTTAACAATGCCAATGTCCTCTTTAAAACGAAGTTTGTGGATGGCGTGTCCACGGTCACGCGGTACGCTCAGTCCCAGCCCTCTCGGGATGGTCGGGATGAAGATGGAAGTGGAGCATTGGGAAGGGCAGGGAAGAGCACTGCTAAGAAAAACCCTAGCAAGAGGTTGAGAACTGACACTCCTGCCCAACCTCTTTTGCCATCGCAGGGTTAAACCTCTGGAAATGTGAATAGCTAAGGTTTTGTGGTGTCGTTTGCAGAAATATAAAGCGTACTATCATGTTACTTTGCATCATATTGAAAGTGTAGAGCATTAACCTTCATTGCATCACACTGTTTATCCTTATATATCAGTACATTAACCCTCTGGTAAACAACATCCCTCTCCACAATTCGTTCTCATAGACGTAAACATCTATTTTATTAACAAAAGCATATTTGGGAACTTCTAGATGGGAATTTGAGTTGATAAGTTTACTGTGCTCTCTCGTCACAGTAATGTATGACTGTATGACTATGTTGCGTATACATTTCTCTACTTCATCATGTAACGGTCAAAGTGAAGGTTGTCAGATTTCCTTATTCTGTCAAGTAACTCTTGTGTAAATACCAGGGTACCCGGCTTGAAATAGTGTTCCACTAACCCTAAACACCCTATCATCAGAATGTGTATCCCTCATTCTGTTCTGTATTTATTTCTTATGGTACTGATAAGGATAATGTTTTTTACACAATAAAGAGCTTTTATTTCTTGGCAATCATTTTCTTTATTCAAGTACGTTAAGAAGAAAATAGAGAAGAAGGCTTGATCTGTTATTATAGTTTCTCCCCTACATTGTAAAGTATGAACGATGTACACAAGGGTGCAACTAAAGGGACTTCTTAACGTGCACGTTACTTTGTGGTTAAACTGCCTGTTAAGCCAGTGAGACGCTAGTGTAGATTTATCTTTAGTTCAAATTTCTGTGTTAATCCCCCTCCCCTCCCCCCATGAACTTATCTCTATGAATTACTTGATTATCAAGATTCACTGGGTCTTCAACCCAGGTGGGATGTTTATCTGTAAAAGGGAATGTATCACAATATCAAAGCGTTCGTTTGTATGAGGTAACTACAGTATTTCTTTGCAGCAAATAAATTCAGCTGTCAAACATACCTTCATTACCGTAACACGTTTTGTAAATGCCACCACATCGGTACACCCAAACACAAAACCATCGAAAAAACTGTTATGTAAATCTTTACAACCTAACATCAGTATGCCTATACTCCATGCTGTTCTCGATACGATTTCCACATTGTCAGAAATTACGCAATTTTTTTATTGCACGGGATTAAAGCGGAGGGGCAAGATGGGTCCGTCTTACCAGATCCACTCAGGTAGCCGATCAGAACAGATTCAATCTCTTTGCGGTGGCCAATTTATGTTATCAACTCAGATGATAATACTAAATTAACATGCAAACATACTGCGGGCTCAATTAGTGAATAATGGTAACATTTATTCTCTATATTACGTTATTACAACAACCACGGAGCACAAAAAATTCTGCGCTAACCAAAATAATGAAAATCTCGCCTGAATATATGTAAAACAAATAATTAGTATTTGATTGCTAGCTCGAGATTTCTAGAGGATTATGTGTAGTTGGTGAGGGCGAAGTCTGAATGAAACATCACTATCCATTTAGTCGTTCAAAACTTTAAAATAAGACCGGGGACGGTGAAACCTAATTTCAGCCGGGGAAGGAAGGGAGGGGGGGCTTGAACACAAGCACTGGGGCGTGAATTTTTCGGGGGATCTGGACAATCCTCCCTCAAAAAGTTTCGAAATCGTGATCTCGGTGGGATAATCTTTGGTGTACCGGACTTTTTTTCCTTAACCTTTCATTTATTTTTCAAAAGTACCAAAACAGTCTCTCCAGTCCCCCCATTCCCTCACCTCTCCCGTCCCTAAAAAAAGCTTATGTGTTAATAGAAAACGTTTTCAATGATACAAACAAGCTGATGTAACAAAACGCACTTTATTCACCATCTACAACGAAATAGATGGCGAATAGTGTTGTGAATCAGATTGCAGTACTTGTGATACAATGCTTGTAGAGAAATGCTAATACTATCTATAAACACAGTCCATTTCTCCCGTCAGCGGAGGATTGGGGTAGAGACGTTCCGGGTCCTCTCCAAAGGGAAAAAGGAAAAGAGAACATGTTGAGTCTAACTAGAAAACTCTAATTAAAGCAAGGTTATCCACTCTTGATGAGAGTCAAAATATCAACAGCTCCTAGTATGGCTTGTCTAGCGATCGATATCTGACGATCCACCCCAGCATAATCTTTGGTCTCGTCGAGTTTGAAGAGGATATCACTGACACCTGGAAAATTAGAAGCGCCGTACAAATTGTACTTGCTGGGAGCAAAGATCACGTGACGAACCAGGCGTCTTTCCGGCAGGCCATAGGGGTGGATGAAAGCTCTCTCTACCTGGATCATTTGGTCATTGAGCCTGCGCAGTTCTGCAAAACTAGTCTCCTCGTACTTCTCGAGTTTTTCCTCGACTTTTTCCCTGAGTTTACAAAAGTATAACGTTTGAGATAAAGATTTTTTATGTTGAAGTTTTGAAAGCTCGTTTCTCAGAATGTTTGTGAACATCTAGGGAATTGGCTGGCTATGAATTGTGATGATGATGGTGATAATCTTAATATTATTAATAGCAATAATAATCAATGATTATCATAATAATAAAAATAACATTAATAATGTTAATGACGATGATGATGATGATGATGATGATGCTAATGACAATGTTGACTTTATTTCCGTGCTAATGTAATAGGTTACGATACTTTAACCCTTGACCCTTATGAGAGGCTAGCTTCTAATTTCTTCCCTATGGTGCCACCCCTGAATCAAACATTAAGATCACGAGAGCAAAGGAAATGATTACCAATGAGAGAAGCTATTGATTTTTAAACAAATGCTCCTTGTTAGTATCCCGAGAGTGTCTGGAGAACAGAATTGTGAATAAACACATTGATGCTTTGTGATTGGTCCAGAAAACTCCCGCCATCCTCTCAACCAATCAGACGCAGAACTAGAACCAATCGCGATTTGGTCATCCTCGTTTTACAGTTTGCCTGGTTTTACTTTGAATTCTCATTGGCTAATGATGAAGCGAATCGTCGGTGTTGGGCGCTGAGATCACTTTGTTTTTTTTTCTTCAACGCTCATTTGAAAGATGCTTTAAAACTGAACTGATCTAAAACATTATGATTGTGTGCAACGCTCATATATAAGAATACCTGGCTGTCGAAAAGGTCTTCGCAGTGTCGTAGAACTTTTCAACTGCCATTCTTAAGTAGTTCATCGATCCAGCGTAGTCTTTCAGCTCCTCCGGGTATGCTGAAATTAGGGAATTCAAAGAACTATTCAGAGCTTCCGCATACGTTATCACATCCATCTTCAGAAGCGGTGCATCTGCGAATTGTAACAGTAGTCCGCCAGTAAGTTGGGTCATAGCCTTATGGAACAAGAATTTTGGATCCACGAACTTTACAGTCCAATTAAACGTATCGTGCTGTGAGTGGTAGACCGGGTAGAACACCGTTTCGTTTTTGTAGCCAAAAATGTAGTAAAAATCTGCTGAAGGGACGCCTGCGTACTGATAGAATGAGGCAAAATCACTACCAGAACCCAAATTGCCAACAGCCGGTTTCCCTGGATTGTTTTTAGACGGGTTGCGTTCGAGTGAAATATCGAACACGGTTTTTTTGTCATCGTGTGCGTTGGGATCGTCCACCTTCTTGCTGAAATCCACGATGGTGTTCTTGACTAACGGACTACCGGAGGCTATCAGGACGTAACTGCCAGACACAATTGTGTCGGTGTTAAGGTAGACCACGGCTCGCTCACCAAGCTCTTTCTGGTGCTGCTCAACCCATTCCGTTGATCCAATGAGACTGTATTCTTCTCCTCCCCAGCTGCAGATCTGTTGATTTGAACAGAAATTTAATTTAGTTTTTTAGGGTAAAGCTTTGGTACCGGCTTGGCTATCGACCAAATATATAAACAATGCGACATCTCCCCCACAGTCTTAATAATTAATACAATTTTGCGAAGCTCAAGATTTTTTCATCGAACGCTTGGAACAAATGTCTCAAACACTTTTCTTCTTTCAGGATTGGTTTTAATCGGCTGTCGACATAACAAAACAAGAATGGTCATACAGGCAAATCTGAACAAAGATTAAGACCCCACCCGCCTATGAGAGCTCAAGTTAAAATCTGGAATTCGTCAAAAGCCCGGGAAAACGCGGGTGACCTAGTTACGATGGGAAACACGATTGATGTTACTTTTGCGTCTGATTGGTTTAAAGAATGGTGTAAGTTTTCTACTCCAATCACAGAGCGATGTAAAGCAAAACTAAGGTAATTCCATATTACTTTCGATATTCGATTGAAAATTACTCCATGAGAATATGTTTCTAATTGTCTCACCTTGATTGTTCGACGTGGCCTCCATCCTGTTTTTAACAATTCTCCAAGCACACGGCCGATCTCAGCGGTCACAGAGGTCCCGGTAGAAGCGTCAATTGCTCCGTGCACCCAGGCATCTCTGTGATTACCAATGAGCACGTACCTGTCCGGTTCCTCCTTCCCGTAGATCGTTCCTATTACATTATAAATGGGCACTTCTTCCAGGTTGTTACTGACGTTCAATTCAACTTCGACTTCGCCCCTGTTGAACTCTGGTCCAAGATGATAAGTGATACCAAGGGTTCCTTTCCAGTCTTCAGGCACCACTGATCCTAAAAACGTCAAAAAAGCACAAGAGATTATGCCTTGAATCTGATATAGATGCTTTAAGGGGTATATAGTGCAAGGTCTTTCTAGACTATTAGAGCCGATTGTTGAAACTAGGTCCAATTTGAGCCGCGGTTTTTGACGATCAATGGTTTTCCAATGTTCCTCAAAGGTGGGGTTTTGAAGTAACTAGACTTCTGCTTCAGTGTTAATTAGAAGCCCTATTGACAGTTTGGCGAAAAAGATCACCGTTTTGGTGATATTCATGCTTGATTTAAGATTGTTTAGAGTGCGGTTTGGTTGAATAAGGGATGAACCTTTTTTTGATAACCTGCTCTTAGTCTTTAGAAAGATTTTCCAGTCTTGAGTAACGCTCCCGGCAAGTTCTCAAAATATCCTTTTTGACAAAATATAAAAGAGGAAAATCGTTCAGGAAGGACTAAAGAAGTAACTACGATTGGATTGAGTTTCACTAAAATTGCACAGAAGCGCAATTGCATGACTTGAAGTGTACTTAAGGACATGGGTTAGAACTCGGTTGAAAACCAATACGCATGCACTCGAAAGTGCGTGAGCATGATTGATGTTTGGAAATTTCACATATTTTTTTCCTAATCGATTACCTGACATTTCTTGCAAAAAATTAATGGCATCTCCGTATCCCATAGGATGCGCCGGGATTGGAGGAAGCTCACTTTCATTGCGCGGCCTTCGGTACATCCCTGTAAGTGCTGCTATACCAGGGGTTTGGGGGTCTCCACTCCCAGGCATTGTATACAGGGATCCCCGCTGCACCCCACTGGCAGGAAGCCACGCCTTGTTAGGGTATGTATTCTCCTCCTCTCCACCCTCCATGGCGTAATCCGCTGGATCCGAGTAGAGGATGGCTCCTATTGCACCGTAGCTATGCGCATTAGCAATCTGAAAAGAAAAATTAGTTCGTTTTTTTTTTTGTTTCGTTTTTCCTCAACAAAAAGTGTTAAAAAGAAGCACCAATAGCTGCGACAATACAACTTGAGCTAACACGTTATAGTTCCAAAAGTTTTAACAGAGGAACAAGTTACCACGGGTGTAATTCCTGAGTTCAGTCCGAGCTAAGAGGGTTCATTTTGACGCCTCAAACTGAATAACCCAGAGAGAGGCCTGTGGTGCTTTCCACGTTGAAGCTTAAATGTCAAATAAAACCCCATGGTACACTCCACGCGCATGTACTAGAATCTTTGGCAGTTCTGGAGTTACCTTATTTCCCCGGTATATTTTCCCATATCTCATGATGGCAATTTTTCCGGTCACATTGACGCCGAGTTTTTTGAGCTGCTTGAAGTCGTCAACCCGACCATAATTTACGTACACAAGTTCACCCTTGACATGCCCGCTCGGACTGTAACCAAGGAAGGGCTGAACGACTCCAGGTTGTGATCCTCCCTCCTAAAATGTAAAAAAAAAAAAATAATAACTTGTTTCCCGAAGCTTTTTTCTGAATGCCAGTAATTCAGAGATGAGGAGGTTGAGCCGAAACAGTTGATCCGAGCTCTTCTCCTCCGGCCCTTTTTCAATTGTTATGGAAGACATTTTTAGAGTCCGACTTCCTGGTCTCCTGGGGGAAAAATATTTCGCGTGCACCCCGCGTGTTCCTTGAATGTTACGCTAACACAACACTCCGGTAGCCCCATGCGTGTGCATAATCAAGATCAGTACGCGCGAGCGACACGTCATGTGCAAGGGTCAGAGAGTGTCTGATTTCTTTCTCGCTTGGGTTACTTTTGTTATCGCCGAGTGCGTGTAAGCAAGATTGGGACTGTCCACATGAGCAAGATGTTTCACACTGGACTAGTTACCGATACACACTCCTACATAACATAGGAGGGTATAACTTAACGATAAGGGCAACTATGAGTGATTCTTTCTCTCAGCTTTAGTGCGTGGAGTTCGAGAATGATTCGTCTACTCTCGAATTTGTGATTTGAAGTTTTTATCTGTCTTCCTTTATACACCTATAACATTACACACAGAGATATTGTTCCAACATTGAGATACTTAGAAAGCTGTCTCGCAGATAATAGGCGTTCTGTAATCGATGAAGGTAATAGGAACATCTAGTCTTTTAACTGCAAATCAAACTACTAAAGAGCTACTAGAAATGCCTTGTGGTTAGTTAAGTTTTCAAAGATTACGCGCACGATTTTTAAACTTCTTAGCGCTTCCTGCAAATAAGTTCATCCGCAGCCCCAAATGTAGACCTTATGTAAGCCCATATGATTCGTACCTGTTCTTCTCCCTTGACTTGGTAAATGACAGTACCGTTCTTGTATTTGATAGTAATCCTCGTTTTCTTGATTAAGTCTGGTTTAGACAACAGTGCTTGATACTCTGGCTTTTCAACTTTATCAAATCCATATTCCTTAAAACGCCTTTCAAGTTCGTTGGCAAGTTCTTTCTGGCGTGGTGAGCCCGCGATATGGGGTTTTTCAGAGAAATACCTGTAGAAACGAAGGCAGAACTTTTCTGTGTAAATTCGATAATCTCTTTATATCAACCCGCTTGAAGCATGGAAACTTTATTTCACCTTCCCTCCCCTCCGCACTCACCTATGATAATAATTGTATTTACTTGAAATTTGTTCATTGCTAACCTTTTTCAATCTTTATACAGTAAATAATTTGAATCCGGGAGTAACATTTGATCGACGATCTGGCAAGGGCTGTTGTTAGTTGTAGCAATCGACGTTTCAACAACCTGAGCGGAAGTCATCATCAAAGTCAAATGAAGTGCTGTTGTCAGTCAATTGTTATAAGTCCGGTTCGTGTTAACTGATTGATCTGTTTAGCCGTGACCTTATTAGCTGTAAGACTCGAGTGGTGTGAGTCGGTCGTGATTGGTCAGTCAGAACCGTACTTTTAACACTCGATTGAAAACAACTCTTCACTTGACTCTGATGATGTCAGTCATTAATACTGATATTAGGCCTTTCCTAGGACTACTCTCCCCCGGAAGATCAGACTGCACGATGAAATATAATCTTAATGTCATAAAATTAATTATTCCTTCCTGATCATGAACGATAACGATGTTTTACTAATCACAGAGTCATACACGTGCAGCATTACTGTATTTTGAGTTGCGTGCGCGACTCTGAAGCTAAGTCTCCAGTACCGAGTATCCACCTTCGTTAATAGCTGTACAAAATTTTTTAAGTCCCTCTCGCACGCCCTTCTCCTTTTTGAACTGAATCGCCGGGCAAGCATGTAGATAATCACTTTTTCTTAAGGTGAGACGATCGGAGCGGTGCGAAAGACATCATACGCGAGGAAAAAGTCCTTCTTGAGCGTCTACTCCCACGCTGTTGGTCCACGTGGCGACAAAGATGCTTCCAATTAAAAATCAGTGCTTATTGGCTATTTATAGTCCATAAAATCCATAAAATCTGCGCTTTCAATTATCTTTGCATCCCATGCGATACTCTACAAATATCTCATGGATCACGAAAGGGATTAATTTTCAATAAGGGCTTTGAATTACGCTTATGTACTTACCATGCAAAGACATAATAAACAGAAGATCCCAGGGAAAAATTTCCATAATTCTTGCGTTATCTAATCAGGCAGCGACAATATATTTAGTTGAGGTTAAGAAATTACTACTCTAGTGAGCTTTGGCAAACTACCATAGATTGATTTATTCACTAGATTACATCCTTTGTAAATTTGATTAAACTGAAACACTCAGAACGACTCGGAAGCAGCCGGAGCTACTTGCATAATAAAATTTAATGGAAGCGTATTTGAAACCGATTGACTTACTTGAGGTTCCCTTCGAGGGCTTCTGCTTTGACAGTCGATTGGAACATCTCATGAAAGCGCATCATATCCTTGTGCTTTTTTTGCATTTCGGCTTTCTTATCGTGCCCATTTGGCCGCTCCTTTTCACGGTCTTCTCTTTTAGTTTTCTTTGCAAAGTATCCGATCAAGAACCCAATGATAAATACAAGAATAACAACGACAATTGCACCGATACAGCGAATCCTTCGCTGCTTTTTTCTCTTCTTGTATGTCAGCTCAACAGTATCATCCATTGCAGTAACGTAGCAGTGATTTGGGCCGAGCTACGGAGCAGATATTAATTGTGAAATGACACCAAATGTAAGGAGGACAACGCCTTTTAGATAAGTCTTAGTCAAAAATTACTGGCGCAGCCGAAATGTTATCGTTCATTGCACAGCTTTTGTTATGCAAATCTTTGCTTCAAATATTGGTTGCCTCTTAACAATTCAATTTGGAACAAATGGAACTTTGCGTGACTTCGTTGCTTTATTAACAGTATCGCTTACATAAGAAATCTGTTGTTTGGCTGTTCTGCTTGGATTTCCTAAATAGACATAATAATTAAAGCATTTTAGTATGACCGCTAGCTACAAGATAATAAGGTCAACACGATTAAATGGCATCCGACCTCCAACAATAACAAATGGGCATTATTTAAAAAAACACCATCTGACTACTTCGGTTTTACACTAAGCTTAATCCACAAATTTCAATTACTATGGCAACTAAAACTTCACTTGGGTGCAACATGACCTATGGTTGGGCTTCTTTTATGATAAAGTACCTCTCATAGTGCCTAAGAGGCTGTGCAACGAGCTAGACGCAAGAAGAAAAAGAGCCCTTTGTTGTTTATCCGCCGCCTTTGAAGTGTTATCTGCAGGGAAGACCGTACCCTGAAGGAGATTATTGTAGACAGATCAGAGGGTTTAAAAACTGAGAGTCATTAAAAAAAAAATGTTTTGATCAAGACGGCCACTCAGAACAAAGAGGAATATTCTAAGGAACCGAAACAAATTTTGCAAAAGGTTTGAAGGGCGGGAAAACGCTTGTGAGTTAGGCGCGGTTGGTTATTCCGTTTCTGAGTGGTTGACATCGTGATGCAAGTTCGTTAAACCAATAACAGTGCTTAGCTAGGCAATGCCGGTAAAATCCCTGAAAGTGGAAATCTGTTTGGTCAGCTTATCCTTTGTTTCCACTAGACTGCTCTTCGTGTGCCGCAATCCCAGAGTTCGGCGGGAGCGCTAACATAATTTTTTTAACTCACGCGACGGACTTTGCCGTAAAGGATGGACAGATCATATTCTATTGTTTTACTTACGGGGACCTCAAACCACATGATGAAGTAAACAGTACGATCATAACACTCAGACATACTTAATTGACTTTCTATAAATAACAGACTTATTATTTCTACCGTCGATTGTTATGGCAACTGTCAAAACATTCTGACATTTTAACATTGGTTACAATTTTGACCGCATGCTAAGTAAACACATTTTAAAAACTTACATCTAATCTTTTATCTTATCAATTTCACCCGTCTGAAATTCATGGTAATTAGCAACTTACTTGAGACAACTCCTATTGCTTAGTGTTTAAGGTACCTCGCCTACAAATTTCTTTTGTGAATCTATTTTACTATACTTTGTTCGTACTTTCGTAGGTGAACAATAAAATCTTAAATTCCTTCATACCTTCGAGCTTACATTTAATAATAAGAAAAGAAAACAAATATGACAGTTGCAACATCTAAACGCTGACAGTTAGAATACTTTATCAGTGGCACCCGTTCTCAGATTCTCTGAGATAGCACGCTATGAATCCATGGATAATTTCCTGAAAATTGCAATATTACTAATATTTGCGCTTGCCGTTTCACTGAGTACGATCGTATTTTACTTTGTCCCCTATTGGCCACGGAACGATCCTCTGATACGGATGTTGATGACAATAACAATAGCTTCCTTCGAACCGGTCTTACAGGAAACAGTTGGTTGCACAACGTACCTACGTGGAAACGGATTAACCCACAAAACGCAAATTTCAAGTACACACCATGTTTAGAGTACATACTTGAAGGAACATTTTTAAAATAAAATCTTTGATTGCGAGCCACCCTGCATGATCAGTCAAGGATAGCCATGCGATTAGTTCATAATTTTCGCTATTGCTGTGCGTTTGCGGTTCAGTTGGCAAATGACGAATTTCATGGTGTAGTATTAACGACGAAAAAACGCAGAAGGTCGCCTCGAGAATTTATTTTTGCTGTTGATAAAATAGACGACACTAATTCTCTTGCATACAACTAGTATCTAATTTTTCCGAGGTTAGCTTGGCATTATATACGACGATGGAGCCAGAAGGTCGCCTCGAGAATTTATTTTTGCTGTTGATAAAATAGACGACACTAATTCTCTTGCATACAACTAGTATCTAATTTTTCCGAGGTTAGCTTAGCATTATATACGACGATGGAGCCATGTATGATAGACTCTCACTATACAATAACTGAAAAATTAGGTCTTTGTTAGCTGAAACGCAAGTAGATCTAACGAAAGTGACCTGATTCGGCGCTAGGGCGGCAATTCGAGGGTCTTAAACAAAGAAGTAGCCAACTTACTTGAGGTGTTCTTCAAGTTGTTCCGAGTCCACAGTGGATAGAAATTTCTCGTGAAAATTCATCATTTCTTTTTGTTGCTTTTCGAGCTCAGCTCTTCGTTGAGATTTTTCATCTCCAGGTTTGGTTTTGTCTTCCTGATCAGCATCCTTCTTGTCCGACCTGTTTACTCCAAAAACTCCTATCAACATTCCAATGGCGAACGAAAGTAGGATCGCAACAACTGCGATAACAATGAGGATCTTTCGATTCTTTTCCATCGCTCCCGAATTTTCACCCTCTTTTTCATAACGGGCCATGCTACAAGAGAAGCTTGAGAGTACACTGTTTTACCAACAAGGAATCTGTTTACTAGTTGTCAAAATGAGGGTGCGTGGAATGTTCCGTATGCTCCACTGTGTGTCAATAACAAGGGGTCGAATTTGATCCTCCCTTCTGACAGACTGTCCCGCAATAATTTATTCGATAGCGCTAGTGAAAAAAGGCTTTTCTAAAGATTACACGTAATTAGATTGAAACTATATCTTCATCTGTCCAACCTAAAAATTAGAAAGCACCGAACAACGGCAGTCGAACACAATTTGACACAATAGTTTAAAGTAAAAATAGGGAAAGGAAAAGCTAATGAAAGAAAGTCAAAGGTGATCCCTGATCATTTAAGCATGTAGGAACGCGGCATGCCGGTGACATTTTGGACGGGATTCCAGCTTGTTTCCGTTCCCGTACGGGATCCCGGCGTGATTTTTGGCGGGATCCTGGTGTGTTTCTATGCGGGATCCCGGCGTGATTTACTGCAGGATCCAGGTATGTTCCCGTGCGGGGTCCTGGTATGTTTTTCTACGGGACTCCGGCGTGATTTACAGCGGTATCCTGGCATGTTTCCGCGCGGGATCCGTACGGGATTCTGGCGTGATTTTGTGGGATCCTGTCGTGTTCCCGTGCGGGTTCCCGGCATGATTTTTAACGGGATCGTGGCATGCTTTCGAGCGGGATCTTGCTGCAATTTCGGGTGCGATCCCTAAGCGCGATCTCGAGGGCATTTTAAAGAAAGGATATTCCTTTTCATTGAAATAATTAGAATTCAAACAGAAATGCAGAGGAAACCAAATGGTTAATGAATACAGAAATTGATAGAAAAGTCAAAGGAAAGGGCGAAACAAAACATCCTCCGGAACATGAAAAGGGACGAACGAAAATATGGTACAGAGATAAAAGTCAGCGTGAAAGCGAAGACTAATTGAAAGATTAATGGATAAACTCCGTTGCAAATATCATATAAACTTTCCGGCTGGAACGCTTTCTCCATCGTTGTCTTATGTAGTCTCAGTGCAATTTTAGCCTCACCCCACCCTACAAGAATGTTTACAACCGGTATCGATAATTTTTTCCCAGGAGGCCATTTGAATATAATGCTATGCAGCCCGGCCTGCGGTCAGTGCATTACTTCAGTTCAGTGAAGTTATCCTTGTAAATATTGGTTAATTTGGTTTCTTTTCCTCTTCTCCTCTTGCTTTGGTCGCTATAAATCGCAAACATTATGGACGAGGAGTTGATGTGTGAAAGTCTGATGAAATGGGTGAGTTTAAATGGTGGAATTCCAGTTGATTGTCATCTTTCTAGTTCTCTCTTTGGCGACATAGCTATCCTGAAGAATTTGCTCAATTTAACCTCTGGTCATATCGTTGTATTAACAATAGATATGAATTTCGCATCAATTTTCCCTTCCTGTAGGTCGGTACCTTTGAAGGAATAAAAGCTCCGCATAAAACCATCGAGGAATTGACTGATGGCGTCGCTCTTTCAGAATGTTTAGCCGAAATGTAAGTGGATTGTTAAGCTTAATTACACAATATTCAAAAAGTCCTAATGGTTAATTTTATTTTTGCATTTTGGTACATTCTCACTATCAAACTCAAAGGCTTTGGTGATATTGCCCGCTTCCGATTTCGATAAATTTGATTTTTTTGGCTGATTTTAGATGCTTATCGCTCGGAATGAACAGTTGACTTCTATCTTGAAAATTGTAAAGACTCCAACTGTTCTGTTTGGATAACTACTGTATATGAACGAGCTATTGTTGATTATTTGAATGACATAAACTGCATTGGATTTGTCCTTCCTAATTTTGCTTCATTACTACTTGAAACGGTTTGAATTTAACATAGGTTAGTCTCGTGTAAGAATGTATTCATGACAATTCCCCATCACTTTGTATGTGTCAGTGTTAAGTTTTGTATCCAGAATTTCACACTGTCACGTATCCCTTTTCTACGGTTAAACTTTATTAGGATTTCCTAATTTAAAGTGATGCTTAATAGGACTTATTTAAATGTCCATAGACCCAAGCTGTTTCCTCAAATTTATTAGTTAGAGCCACTTCCAGGATCATAAGCAATTGTATAATTATTGTTTCTTGAGTTACCTTGTCTCTCTAGAAGGTGTGGGGTTTTTAGCTAAAAAAATGGTGTGTTGGTTAAGATTACAACTGAACTGGCTCAAGTGGAGTTCAATTAACAAAATTTTGTTCCCAATACTTTGCAACTCCTTTATGGCATGGCTAAAAAACTACACAGTAACAAGATGTAGAATGCAGGAAATGTAAAGAGGATGTCACAAACAATTTCTTAAAACAACATTGTATTCCATCTATCATATGTGTTATAGAAGCACTGATGCTTAAGATAGTCAGGAGTTTATTCAAACCTCATACCAAGGATATGTTTCTATGTCAAATTTTTGTGTGTGCATTACCAGTAGTTGCCATTCAAAATCCAGCGGGCAATTATCTCTTTCTATGTCAGCAATTTAGCCAATAGTAGGCAATTACCAACAACCCAGAAAGCCTTAATTTTCAAGCTATTTTGCAAACAAGGGGATTCAGAAGGCCAACTTAGTTTAATAAGAGGCCCGAATCCTGGCCCTCAAACCTACATTGTTCCTTCATTAGTTCATTGGTAAATGAGAATTTCCTAATTTGTAGTGCTCCAGATTGGTTTGATGATGAGTGGGTGTCTAAGATTAGACATGATACTGGAGATAATAGAAGACTCAAAGTAAGTTGTATGCTCTTCTATGTCAGAGAGTATTTTGAATACTTATTAGCAATAGGGTACTAAATACTGTAATGTGATGAATCTGTCAGTGCTCTCCAGACACGCCAACAGCCAGTGTTTTTTGCTCACCACCACTGTTGTTCCTTGTGCTGGCTACTTCAAGAGACAAAAATTCTGAGGAGTAGCGTGCCACCAAACCTCTCTAGAAACTGACAAGCCCAACAGGCACTTGCTCTGCAAGCACTGGCTACTTCAAATTTTTAGCTGACTACATGAAAATATGAGGAGAGCACCGATGTGTTCCTTGTTTGAGTTACATGCACTTTGTATGTAATAGCTGTTTTCAGCTGTAGCTTGCTCTTTGACATGAGTGGTGTATCACAGAGTGATAGAGCTTTTTTGACCTGTTTTCTAGGTAAATAATCTCAAGAAGCTTGTGAAAGGAATCCATGATTACTACACTGAGGTGTGTATAATTTACATTTTGGATGTTTATCAGTGCTTTTCACTGCTATATCATTTTATACTTACCCAAGTAATTAATGCAAATAGGAAGATTCTTTTTAACATGTTAATTTATAACTTTATTGTTAGTGAAATCCTTGTACAAATTTGTGAATATTGCACACTCAGTGTCAGGGTTCTCCTTAGAAGGCACAGTTCTGCAAACTGTAACTGTTTTTGGTCACTGTTGCAAGTGTTGCAAAATATTTGGTGACTAAATTAATTTGCAGTAAAAGTCACCAATTTGACAACCTGTGTTTATTGGTTCATGGGTATCAGTTAGCTGATTTGAAATGCACACTGGCAAATTGTTGGCTGACAACCAGGTTATTAACCCTCTGCTCTATAACATCAGCATGCATATTCTCCACACTGTTCTCTTTACATTTCCTTAGGAACTGTCAAGGAGAATTTTCTTAACAATCAGGCCTTGGTTGCTTGAAAGTCATAGAACACTATCCACTGGATAAATCTCTATCCAGTAGATAATGCTATATGTTTTGCTATCATTTATCTGCTGGATAGAAATTTATCCATTGGATAGCATTATGTGCCCTTCACACAACTGGATCAGGAGCTTTTTTAGTTGGTGATCATTCCCTCTCTTCTCCTGACCTCAATGTTTGTTTCATGGGTGATAATGTAAGAAGAAATTGAATGCTAGTCACTCTTATGGGTGAAAGGGATAATCATATTGATTTTTCTTTTGATTTCATGGTGTAGGTGCTCACCATGGATATCTCAGGGTTTCCAATGCCTGATGTCAATGCCATAGGTAAGAACATTGTTTTAAACTTAATATTTATTGCAGACTTAAAGTTATATTTCTTAGCTGGCAAAGGGTTGATTAGGGAAAGAGTCAAGTCAATGGTTTGTCATTGCTCTGAAGAAATCAATTGCAATACTAATTAGGCTATCTCCTAATTATATCAATCAATTTTCAAGACAAATGGTAATAAGAAGAAAGAAAATATCAACTGCAGGATATTGATTGATTTAGCATTAAATTCTCAGAGCAAGAATTTTAAGAAATGTGAAGACAGGCAAAAAAGGGAAAGTCTGTACTTAATCCTGGTGACCCTCCCAGCCTGAGGTTCTCCCTATTTCCTTAGCATGAAGTGACTGGGAGTATTACTAATTCTCCCTAGAATGGAATGCTGGTTCATTGCAAGGTTACCCCCTAGCTTTTCATCAGGCTTCCCTAAAAAAATTTTTCTGGTAATCATTTATACTCCTGGGTGGAGAGAGACACTGTTAGGGGAAAGTGTCATGCCTGAGAACACAATGCATTGACCTAACCAGGTCTGGAACCCAGCCCTTTCAACCTGGAGTCCAGTACACTGACCATTAGGACACTGGAAGACATAGAGGAGAATTGATTTCTAGATCTTGGAAGTGAAAGGGTTAAGGTGAAAAATTATCCAGACTACTATACCCAACAAACACCGTCCTTTTGAAGGCAAGTGGGAGGGGGAAAGAGCTAGGTAAACCCTCTAGCCAATGTTCTAAGTCACTTTATGAGTTTAAGATTTTACTATTATTATTATTTATTATTATTATTATTATTATTATTATTATTATTAAATTTTACTTTTTAATTACTATTTCCTCTTGCTGATTTCTACAGTTGAGAGTCAGGAAATCTCTGACCTTGGCAGACTATTACAGTTGGTTCTTGGCTGTGCTGTTAACTGTGAAGACAAGCAAGGTTAATCAAATCTTCTGTCATATATTATATCATGTTCTGCTCTATCCTTGATAATAGGAAGCCAAGAAATTGCTGGTTACTCAGTTGGATTTCACTGGCTTTTTCAGTTGTCAAGCCAAGATGTAGTAGTAAAGGCAATTAAAAAAAAAATTATTATTGTCTAAAATTGATTCCACACATTACCCACTTAGAATCTGAAAGACAACCCTAATTTCCTTGTTGGTTACTGTTTAAATCAAATGGTACTGTACTTAACTGTAGCTTAACATTTTAATGGAGTTTACACCGTGGCTGATTTCTGTATAATTATAACAATTGTTACTTGTGATTTCTGGGGTTTGATTATTTTTTTATAGTTTAAAAAATTTTTTCTTTCCACAGAATATATTCAAGTTATTATGTCTATGGAAGAGTCTGTACAGCATGTGGTCATGATGGCAATACAAGAGGTAGGTGTGAATTTGATTTATGAAAGACAGAGTACAGTTGGGTTTCATTTTATAGTTTACAATGTTTTTTTTCTCTCAGCTGATGGCAGGAAAAGAAAGTGGTTTGCCTGGGACAGACAGTGAAATGTTTAAAGAACTAGAGATACAGGTCAGATACATACACATTATGCTTGGTGTTGTGATTTTTAGAACTTACTGAAAACAGTGTCACCTTGTATATACTTATCTAATTTTTGACAATATCATTATCATGCTGGCTTTTTGAAAGTCTCAGACATTTACATTATGGAAAGCAATGGAAAACAAGAATTATTTGAACTTGTACATTTACATAAAATTAATTTTATTTGTACTCTGCTGATTATCATTTTATTGATTGAAATAGAAAAGATGTGGGCATTAGATAGACATACATGTAGAGAAATTACTAATGTCTTTATAGCTGTAAAGTTTATGCAATACAATTTCATGATAATGCAGTGGATAATGGTAGTCTAGAAAGCTAGGCATGCATCCAAATTAAACTAGATGTATTGTAGATCTCATAGACATCATCCTTCACATGTGAAAATTGACTTTGAAAAGGGATGTCATACCACTTTGTTTAACTTAAAGAAACCTTTTCCTCTCTCCCTGCCATTCCTTCAACTGTTCCTTTTTTTTTTACATGACCAGCATAAGAGAACACTTGAACAGCTTAGTAGTATGGCAGCTGAAAAAGAGGAACTATCACAGAGATGTCATGAACTGGATGAACAGGTAATGAACCAAAAAAAAAAATAAGGCCAATGGTAATTTTTTCTAGGCAAATATTGATGTAGTCTAAGATCTGTGTAACAAAACTGGGTTAATTAAATCAATTGAAGGCTTAATAGTAACCTTTTTGTTCAATGAGGGGAAAATAAGCAAACTCTGCTCATTTAGCTTGTCCTATTTTGCTGTACTTTTATATCAATAACTTCTCACGTAAGAAGGATGGGATTTTCAGTCAAAAGAAATGAGGTCATTTCATAATATTTCTAACAGGAAGTTTGCAAGTGAACCTACTTTGTGAACAGTAGCCAGTTTTTTGGTTTGCATTCAGATTCACATTTTGGTTTATTGTCATGTATTGCAATGTCAGTGGATCATAGGGTTAAATGCAACAATCAAATATTTGATCTGTGTTGCCTCTCTCTCTCATTTTAGACTTTTTTGTGAGAACTTCTTTCCAAATAAACCTTTTTTCCTGTTGTTCTACTTAGTTGTCCTTCATCAAAGAGCATGAGGGTAGCTTACAGATGGAAAATGAGCGACTTAGAGATAAACTGAGTCGGCAAGACACAAGTGGCGACAGAGATGATGACATCAGGTAATTTAAATGAATGAAAAATAAGGAAAGTTTTGTCGGAAAAGATACTTTTATTACATGTAGCAAAGTAACTCATCTTCATTCTGACTTTTCGAATAGAGATGTAACCTCTTACTCTTAAAGAAATGTTGATCTTTGTCTTTATAATGAATGCATATATATGTGTAGGTATTTATTGATAGGGAGTGAATAAGTTTATACTGTATTTTGTTCTGACTTAGTCTCAAATTCTCAAAAGTACCATTAATACTGGAAATAATGTTAGCTAGGAAGGATAAATGAAAGTTAGATTGTGGATATTGAAGGGTTAACATAAGGTGCTCAGTAGAATTTCACTTAGAGAAAACTTGAAGACTTTTTAAGTTGTAGAGATCTTTACTAATTTTACTTTACTAAGCAAGAACTGCTGGTTGGGCACATGGGGAAGGTGACAATTATAACATTAAGAAGACACATTTCTGGGAGGGGTAGCTGCACCTGTATAGAAGTTTGAGAGGGTGGGGCTTGTCTAAAGGAGAACTGGCTATTGTTTATATGGCTGCAAAAATTATAGCTCAAGGTCTTTGTATATTTAGCTGTTTAGTGCATTAATGGAATTATGTAGCCATTGTTTTCATGAAGGAAAAATAGAGGAAAATATGAAGCTTCATTCTTCAATTTTTCTAACTAAAATGTTTTACTTACATGTCTAAGTTGGCTGCTTTAATAAATTGATTAATATTTGATGAGGTCACCTGTTGATACATCCCATTCAATGTGTTTTTTTATTACTGAAGTCTGGATAATGTGTTAAACTTGAGTTTTCATTATTATTTAGAATGTTCAGTTTGAGGCAAAGGTTGTTAAACTGATCTGTATTTCCTCTGTGTATTTAGTCTTCCCTTTTTGGTTCATATTCCATCAATTGTTATCTATGCACAATGATGAAATTAAATCATTTGCTTTCTAGTTTTTCTACTCAAAGAATGCATCAGCTTCAGCAACAAGTGGAACAACTCAAGGAAGAGAATTTCACCATGGAAACTTGTGAGTTAAAGAAAATGATTCGAAAATTTACAGAAATGAATGGAAAGATTATGAAGAAGTCTTTGAGCTTGCCTTTTAAAGCCCAGCTTCAATTTCTGTGTATACTAAATTAATGCAGTGGCAAAGGTTTCTTCTGCATAATGAAATATGAAATTCAAAAGGAATTCAAAGCAGTGCTCGTTACAAAAATATACAGTCATAAAGATTCAGTGAATAATTCCCTCATCTGTTTTTCTATTCACTCAAATTTTATCAAATTTACTTGTAATATGCTTAACATGATAATTACAATAATTTTTTTTTCAGCACGTGATGAGTTCAAAATAAAATATGAACAGTTGGAACGGGATGTTCTGATGTTGAATGAAAGGGTATGGTGCATTTGTGCTTAGTTTGCTCTCTTAAACCGTTTAACTCCAAAGATCTGATTGTTAATTCTCCCCTCTAGCTGCTACACATTTCCCTCTAGCTATGACACATTTCCTTGTACATTATTTTCAAGAATTTGGTGTTAGATCAAGATTGCAACCTCTACTTGACAAGTTTGAATATTCTCATTACCTGATTGTTGGATAATGTAAGGATATTATAGGAGGAAGTTACATTTTAATCACTCCTGGGAGTTAAAGGGTTAAGTGTTCAAGAGAGTTCACTTCTCTTCCTCTCCAAGGTATGTACATGTAGGTATTATAATGTTAGAAGAAAATTTTGTGGATTTTGTATAGGGACAAAATTATTTTGCTTTGGATATCCTTACAGTCCATGAACCCTTTAACTCTCAGAAGTGATTCACATAAAACTTCTCCCTACAATATCCATACATTCTTCAGCAAACAGGTAATCAGAATATTCAAACTTATCAGGTAGAAGCTGTTATCTTGATCTAGCACCAAGTTCTCATAACTAATTTACAAGCAAATGTGTAGTAGCTACAGGAGAGAATTAACAATCGGTTCTTGGGAGTTAAAGGGTTAAAGCAGTAGATAGAATTCAAGTCATGTTTATTGCATCTTAATTTTCCTAGCAGATCATTGTAATGGAATTTACACAATTTACAAAAAAAACAGAGGTCTGACATGTATATGCACAGTGCAATGCAACAGATGAGCATCTCTAAGCTCAACCTATGTCTTTACCACTAACAAGTCTTAGACTCTAAGCTTGTTTGGTAATGTTTTTTCTGTGAATTACACCACAAGTTGTGCTTTTAAGGTTAACTAATGTGTAATGATACTGTAAGTTGTAAATTTATTTTGTGCTTGTAAACAGTTTTGTAAGACAGTCGTTACTTGTGTTTATAAGTTTAAATTCTATTCACAGAATGAGCAATTGCAGAGCTTAGCTGAAGAATCTCAGATGCTGAAAGATGAAATGGATGTCTTACGGCATTCCCAGGAGAAAGTGGTTTGTAAATTTTTATAACACTATGATTAATTTGTCATATTAATTAATTTTTTTATGTCTTAAAATTTTCTCTGGTAAACTGTGTTGTTCTTTTTTTTTGTGGCAGATTAAGTATGAGTCAACAATAGAACTTTACAAGAAGAAACTAGGTAAGTGCAATTCTTTTACAAGGTATGCTGAGTATTAAAACTCTTTTTGTTGAAGGGGAGACTCTTGTGTCAGGACTGATCACAGAACTGCAGAATTAACAAATAATTTAGCAATTTTAAATATTTCTTTTGGCTTCGTAAAAATTGCTAACTAGTTTAACAGTTTATCACAAAAGACCATACTATCGTTGCACTTTCTAATACGATTTTTACAATAATTTGCTTTTATCGTATAGATTGATTTTGTGTTCTAAATGATATGTTTGTCATTGCAGAGGAGTTGTCAGACATGAGGAAACAAATGAAGGCTTTAGAGGAAAAAAATGTAACATATATGAAAGAAACCATGAACTTACAAGAGGTGAACACATTTATATAACATTACTATTAATTATGGGTAAATTGAGTAAGTTTTTAAAGAAAAGGTGCTGCTGCTGCATCATTGGAGAATATTTTAAAGGATAAATTGGTTTTATCAACTGAGTTGATGACATTGGCCACTGTAAAGAGTTTCTAAAGTTGATGTTTCAAGCGTAAGCCATTCACTGTTTGTTCTATTACATTAAATTTTGTAGTCTAGTGTATTGTACTCTTAACTTCATTTAGCAGCATTTAAGATATGCTTAAACATTTTGATACAGAGTTTACACCATTGCAGTGTGGGTCTTTTGAGATTCTGATTTTGCCAAAGATATGTTATTAAGTTTACATCATTTGTGACAGTGGTCAATTATAGCTTTTTAAATGTAGTTAAGAGAGTCTGTTAATTACAATTTGTGTTGCAGGATCTTAGAAAAGCCAATGCATTAAAATCTCAAGTTGACACATACAAGAAACAGGTTTGTAAGCAGTCTGGTATCTGTAATACTTGTCAATTAAACTTGTTTTCCATTTCAGAAGGAAAATAAATCCCAGAACAGTATTGTATGTTGTTGTGGAGTACCTTTAACCCAATTATTTACTCTCTCTTTCTGTTTCTCTTTCTTTTTCCTCTAAACTTTCTCTCTTGTGTAGATTTTCTGTAAATTAAAGCTGTAAAAATATAATTTATTTTTTTCTGTTTCTATTTTAGGTACATCAGTTGCAAGTGCAGGTGTCGGAGTTGCAAAGGAGAGCAGACAAGGTGTGTGGAAGAAATAAACAAGAGTACTTTACTGTAATAATCAGTCATTTTTTCAAGGAGTGTTGCTCTAATTGTGAAGTTTGTTTAATAGTTGATTTATCTGAATGCTCTTTGATATACAGGCAGAGTTTGAGGCAAAAAAGGCAAAAGAGAAGGTTACAAACCTTGATGGAGAAAATGAAGTAGGTGTAAGCTTTTTTAAAGAAAAAATGATAAATTTAATGTACAGTCAGTAACAGTTTAACTCCCCTGAATAACCAAGACAGAATTTCTCCTTAAAATATTGCTACAATGTCAAGTGGGCAAGTAATGAGAGTAATATAAAATAGGGGATTATCTGTTGATCCAATACCAAATTATTCAAACTGCATACAGTGTATGTAACATCATAAGAATTTTGTGGTAGATAGTAAGGAAAGTTACTAATGAGATCTTGGGAGCAGAAGGATTAAATGAACATTATTTCTTGCTGATAGTCACAATTATCAAGCTTGCATTACAGTGTTTCTGATTCATTTAAGGGGTGTATCTTAGAGATGATGATTTTACTTCCATTTCACAGCGTTTAAGACAGGAGAGAATGAAATTGAAAGAAGAAAACGAGGAGCTTCAACTTGCTCAAGTAGCAGGTACATTGTCATGATACTTTTTTATAATAAACTGAGTGAGTTGCTGATCTTCTTACCACATTTGATGTCATCTGTGATCTACATGTGTTTAACCCTTAAACTCCCATGAGTGACCAAGACAGAATTTCTCCTTGCAATATCAATACAATATCAAGCAGGCAAGTGATGAGAAGAAAAATATTAATAAGGGGACAATAAATCGATCCAATACCAAATTCTCCAAACTTTTACTATCTTTCCCTTTTTTAGGTTCTCCAATGCGTCATGTATCTGCTGGGACCCCTTCAAGTGATGATTTTGATCTGGATGGATCCATGTCCCCAGAAGTGAAGTATGTAATAAGTCACGAGAGCTTTCATCAAGCTTTGTTTAACTGTTTCTACTAAGAGGAATCTGGACACTTTTTATTTGTTATTGGTTTTATCACAAGCATGAGACAAAGAAAATATCCTAGTTCCTATTGAGGAATCAAACCCTAGACCTTTAAAATTTGGGCTTCTTAGCTCTACCACTGAGCTGAAAGAACCTGCTGATGAACTAAATAAAGACAACACAGCAGTCAAAAGTAATGCATGCACTAGGAGGTCAATTTTGGCAGGCTGGGCATCACCTTCTTGTGCAAAAGTTTTGAAGAAAAACATAAGAAACAACTGCTGTCTTGCAAAGTAAGTGATAAAAAATTGAAATGAAAATTTGTGAAAGGAAACAAATGTAAGGAAAAGGAAAACTTCAGATTTTTCAAATGCAAAGCTTATTTAATTACAGGGATCCTGTTGATTTTCCATTCTGTTTTAAGCTTTACCAGGAAAGTTATACACTTTTAAAACACAGTCACTTACTTGCTTGTGTGGTTGTTTGCATCTTTTGTAAGACAAATTTTTTGAAAGCATCCTGTTTGCAAATATAGTATGAAATTTGGTAAATTTTCAATGTGCTTGTGGATTAAAGTAAGCCGTGGTAACTGTTATGATACCTTGGTCTACAACAGGGAGCGTGTTCTTCGTCTGGAACATGAAAATAAGAAGCTTAAAGAGCAGATGCAGGGCGAGCAAGAAGAACAGGTATCGTTCGGTGGATAGTATGTTTCTTTGTCGTTTTTGTAGCATTTGAGCTTTTGCTGAGTTGTATTATGCTTCTTACCATCAGAACCAGCTTCTTCAAAGTCTCCTCAATGATGCTAATGAAAGGAAAGATCAGTTAGAGAAGGAGAACAGGTGAGACAGGTGCTTTAAGAAATGGTGAGGAACTAAAGATAATAAGCATAACAGTTTAACCTTTCACTCCCACAAGTGACCAAGACAGAATTTCTCCTTACAATATCAATACAATATCAAGCAGGTAGGTGATGAGAATAGAGAAGAATGTCAATTATGGGATTATTAGTTGATCCAATACCAAATTCTCTGAACTAACATCATAAGAATTGTATGGCAGATAGTAAGGAGAATTACTAATTAGATCTTGAGAGTGAAAGGGTTAAAGGAAGGAGGGGGTTGGAGGTGTGGCAAGTTTGTAACGTTGACTCACCCTACAAGACATGTGCACTACAGGCTTGATGTGACACACAGATAGGGCTATGAGAATCATATTTTGTCTCAAGCAATTAAAAAAAAACTTCTCTTGCAGAGAATTGAATCAGAAGCTTATGGAGGTAGAAAGTGAACTCGATGACATGAAGAATCAGAAGAATGCAGGGGAGATGGAAAAAGATAGTGAACTTGGCAAGAAATACACAGATCATCTGTAAGTACACTTTACACTCGAACATTCAGATGCATATTCTCCATACTGTTCTCTTTACATTCCTTGAGAAGCTGACAGGGAGAATTTGTTTTGCAATAAAGAGCTTCTTTAGTTTGTTAATTTCCTGTATTCTTGAGACCTCAATGTGTGATCCAGGGTGATATTTTCAGGATAAATTGGTTGTTAGTCACTCTCAGGGTTAAATGCAACAAGACGGAACACATTTTGTTGTCAAGAGTTGTAATAGTGAGGGAATGCAGAGAAGAGAAAGGGGTTAACCTTTACACATCAGTATGCATATTCTCCATACTGTTCCTTATACATTTCTTATGGCACTGACAAGGAGAATTTGATTAACATTGAAGGCTTCTTTGGCTGGTGATCTTATGGCCTTAAAATTTGATTCAGTGTTGTTACTTTAAGGAGAAATAAGATGATAGTCACTCCTAGATGTTAAATTTATTTGTTAATTTTGTTTCCGAGATTCATCTCTGTTGATTTGGAGACATGCTATATCTATACACTGTAGGTATTGAATTTGAAACTTCAACTTTACGTTTTGCATCTTGCAGTGACAAACTCAAAGTTGCAAATGACGAACTGCAGAAAAAGAAAGCATACATTGACAGTTTGGAACCAAAAGTTTCCAGTAGTGGTAAGAGGATAAACTTTTATTCGTTGAAATTTATTTACCAGCTCATTCTTCGTGTCGGTGTTTGACTGTAAAAGCTTGTGCTGTAATATAATTTATTTCCGTGAGATCATTGAAATGAAAGCTACAAATACTTTGATATGATTCTCTTTGTTGCTCTGTTCATGCTAGTGCTAACTTCAAGTCTGTAGATGAGACCCCAGTTTGAGAACCTTGCATGTATTGTCGGTTGTGTCTCAATTAATAGGTTTTGAGGGTTTTCATCCTTACCCAGTCGATTGATGTTAATGATAAAAAAGGGGAATGTGCTGAAAGAGGTGCACCTGGTAATGTTTACTTTTTGTGTGATGTTTCAGCGGAGAAAGTGAATGAACTGCAGGAACTTTTGAATAAGAAAGATCAAGAGATGAAAGTTATGGAGGATCGGTACAAGAAATACTTGGAGAAAGCCAAGAGTGTAAGTTTTATATGATTCACTGGTGGTAGAATAATCAGGGAAATGGAAGGGATATTTTGCTGCAAAGTATTCAATACCACACACACAAAGTATACAACACTATTATAAATTCACAAAACTATGTTTTGTGAATTTATAATTGTAATTTAACTGAGTGGAGAGCAGTTTGATCTGAAATCGTACGAGTGATCGTCGCTTGTTGTATTCCTTTATTTCTCGTTGGCCCCTCCCTTTTTTTGGTTAGCCTCTGAGGTCACTGGTTTCAGTTTGAAGAATCTCCAACGAAAACCTCTCTATTTCATTCCAGTAGGTTCAATAGTTCTCAGATCGACGAGTGTCAGTAATGCCGTGTTTTCAATTGGATCATTTTTCTCTTTTCAGGTGATAAAAACTCTCGATCCAAAGCACAGTTCAGGCGCTCAACCTGAGGTAATTGTTTCATTTCCCGTTTTGATTGTCCTTCGTGCTGAAAGTTTTTCCTTATGGTGATGATATTGCACTAAATGTTATGTTTAATGTGCATCAAGTCTTCAGTACATGTATATGAACTCTCGTGGAAAGAAATTCTAACGCAAAGGGCTTTACGCTGGCTCTCTTTAAAGTAACTTTCAATGCAACAGATTTTCTAATTCACCTTATGCATTCTCCTAGATTCAATATCTAAAAAATCAAGTTCAAGAAAAGGATAAAGTTATAGAGCATTTGGAGGTAAAGCGACGTTGTTATTTTATGTTTAACATATTTTACATATCGTATACTCTCTATCTCCGCATATACATCACTCTCTTGCTGAACACTCGGTTCAGGATTTCGTTTGCCACTTTCACTCCATGGAAGTAACCAGAAAGAAGTGTGACGAGAAGAAGGAAAAAGTCAACTTTGGAATATTGGTTGATTTAACAACAAATTCTCTGTGTTGAAATTACAAGAAATATATGACAGACAGTGGGGAGATAATATCTTTACATGTAGATCTTGGGTGTGATAGGGTTAAAAAGTGCCTTGTAGAATCACCACAAACTGACAGAACGGGATGTTTTTGGTCGAGACTTGCTATCTTTGCAAAAGGAGGCCACTAGATTCGTTTTCTTACAGCTGTGTTTCTTTTAGCGAGATCATGAGAAGATGAAAATCACAAGAGAAAGAGAAGAGAAACTTATAGTCAGCGCTTGGTATGAAATGGTAAGCACAATCTGTTACTCTACCGATAGTGAAAGTCTGTACTCGAGCCAAGTGACCCATCCAGCCGGACCTGATCCCGGTTTCCATAGTACAAAGCGACTAGGAGCACCACAAACACCCCTGCCCCCCCCCCCCGATAGGATGCCAGTCCATTGCAAGGTTACCTCAGCATTTTATCAGGCTTTCCTGAGATTTCGCTTGTACCTATGTAAACTCCTAGGCGGGAGAGGCACTGTGGGAGTTAGCCCTTTAACTCCCATGAGTGACCAAGACAGGATTTCTCCTTACATTATCAATACAATATCAACCAGATAAGTGATGAGACTAAAGAAAAATATCAATTAGGGGATAATTAGTTGATCCAATATTAAATTCTCTGAACAAACATTAAAAGAATTGTATGGTAGACTGTAAGGAGAATTTAAAATTTTATCTGGGAGTTAAACCGATAGCGAGTGCTAAGAGATTGAGAATACAATTCAATGGAATTTCTTTGCCTGAGAAGAAAACTAAGGGCACTTATTTGGCGCAAATACCTCGTACCTCTGAGAGCTTACCTTGTGTAAAGTATTTTTGGGAAATTAAAGAAAACTTAAGACCGAACCGCATAAGGCTACCAATCACTGGGAAATTACGCCCAGCCTTGTCGCAGCGATAATTTTCCCAGTGTAACTTGGAGAACTCTCGAGAAAATATTTGTCTTAGCGACAGAGGTTTGTCGTTGTGACCAGTTGCACAGAAATTCGAGTTGGTCTGAATCCGTGCGACTGACTTCAGTGACAAAACCCTGTCGCAAACACAACGATTTCGCCAAAAAATTCTCCTTGTCGCCCAAGGCGAACTGTCATTGGGACTTTTTATAGAACGGTACGCACAGAGCTGTTTGTTACTGACACTTATCGCTGCCTCTTGTCACAAAATGTTTCCTTTCCTCAGGGCATGCAACTCCATAGAAAAGCTGCGGAGGAAAGGTTGTCAGGGAACGCAGGGGGAATGTCTTTCTTAGCTCGACAAAGACAAGCTTCCAGTCGCCGTTCAACGCCAAATAGAACGCAACAGGCCAACGCTGTCTCGTCTAGGTAAGAATATGGGATAGAAAATGTTGTTGTTTATCACTATATGGCGTTATTAAGGTCTAGCCAAGGTTGGTTGGTTGGTCTGTTGAGGGGAAAGGATGGTTTTCCTGTTGCGAGAGACGATCGTGTATTTGTCAGTTATAACGAAACTTTTGGATCAATGTCAGCATCTGAACAACTGCGCACCTACCTACCCCTCCCTAACCTAACATTAACCCCCACTTGTTATCAGTTGACTGTTGTTGGGTTAAGGGAGGGGTAGGTGCGAAGTTGCCCAGATCTGTGTCTGTTTATCAATTACTACTATTTAAACACCATGTTTTTGTAATTCTTGGAGCAATTTGGGTTTAACTTTCGTGATGTATACTTGTAAGTACAATGTACCAGTCTGTTCTGTTAACTTGATCACCATCTTCACTATTTTAAAATCCCTACATGTATTTTTCTTTATCATCGTGTTTGTGGTACATACAAACAAGAAAAAAGGAAACCATTCTGTGCTAACCCTTTTTGCTGTTGTATTGCAGGGATACGTAGCATCAGCCTGATAAATGGAATTCATCGCCGTTCCTTTCCCCCTTTACAATATTTAACAATGAGGAACTAGCGTTCAATTATGAAGCACACCGTTAAGGTTCGTTATCTTAAGAACTGCGGCCAAGAGCAGATCGAAAAGTCTGGCAAACGCATGTTTTGCCCGATCAGTGGCAGTGAAACCTTTAATTGCCAATAAGTTATTGTCTCTGTTTTCCTTAAATCTCCTCTGATTAACGCTATTTTGGAAACGAGGGGTACAAAGCGTAGACAAAATTTTTAACCCTTTATTTAGATAAATTTATTACTATGATTTGCTTTTGTGTGCTTTTGTTAAACTTGAGATAAATATTTCCTTCGGGGTAAAGAATTAGAGGTGATGGTGAAAAATCGAATGGTGTATTTACTCTAACCTTCGTTTATAACAAATCAGTTATGGGAAGAGTTTGTTTTGGGAGGAACAAATATGTAGCAGTGGAAAATAATGGCAGCTATACGATATTTAGTACACGGCATTGTATTATAGTCAGTGTTGTATGTTGTTTTTTTTTTTCACGACAAGAAAGTTTTATCAGCTTGTTCCTTTAAAATTCAAAAAACCGAATTGGGATTTATGTGTGGAAAGGACTTTCGCGCGGCGCTGACTCAGCGCCGCGCTAAAAAAAAGACTTTTGTAGCTGGAATTTGGTAATTTAATTTGATTTGTGTTTTTAGGAATGTAATCAAACTTGATTTTGAATAACAATAACAAGTCAAAACCCATCGGTGTTAGAACTTGAAAAAGTTCTAGCAGATAGTATTGGTAGATCCAATTTGAAAAACATGCGAAGAAGTTTTGTGACATAATTTGTAAAGGCGATAATTATCACAATATAAATTATTATGCGTTCTTTTTCTTGAACCGCCTTTTTCGTTCCCTAATACAGGGAAAAATATTACGCTGTACATGAAAATGTTCCTTGCAACTCGATTTGAATTAATTGACAGGAGTGCACTTGGATGTCTCCCGTTTTTTTTTTTTTTTTTTTTTTTTTTTTTTTTAATGTTTTCAGAATCTATTGATCTTTCACATAAGGATAATGATTTGTATTAGCCAACTTTCATTAAACCATAAACGTGGACGTCACGTCGACAGATTTTTTTTTTTCTAAATCAGTGGTCTGGTAAATGCCACTTTCCTTTTCGAAGTTTAAACACAACAGAATATACAAATGAAAGCAGTCTTCGTGGTTTATCCTATTGTCTTCAGTGAATCAAAGAGTGAATCATTTTTTTTTTTTTTTTTTTTTTTTTTGTAAAAAAAGTAAAAAGTTAAACTTAGGTAAATTTTTGGTCGCGAGATGGGAATTCTTCTGTTAAACCGCCTGGAAGATTTATGTTATTCATTAACAGAGCGGCTTTTCTTTGGGAAATGTTTGGTAAAAGTGAGTTTGGAGAGGTAAAACACACCAAATCGTTTCCACTTTAACCGGAATATTTTATTGTATTTATTTGTACTAATAGTCGGGGTGAGCCTCTCTTTGTTTTTCAGCAGCTCTATGTCTTATTTTGTCAAAGAAAGGAACTGTTTAAAAAAAGGTATTAACGAATGTACGAAGCATTCAATTCCTTGTTTAATGAGTGTAACTAGGAAGTCTTCGAATGTGTCTAAACTGGTTCTATACTAACAAGGCGTAGAAAGATTGTACGACATTATTTTTGTAAATGAGTCAAATATCCCCAGAATAATAAAGAAATGAAAATGTAATACCCACCATATTATCTGTGTATCATATTACCATATTTATCTTTTTGTGGTTCTCAGCCGACGCATCTGTGTGACGTGTTCAGTTCTGTCCTTACTTTAATACGTTAACTATTTGATCCTTAAGAGTGACTTGCATCTAATTTCTCCTTACAATATCCCCCCTGATTCAAACATAAAGGTCCTGAGAGTAAAGGAATGATCAGCAGCGAAAAAATTTCTTGATTGTTAAACAACTTCTCCTTGTCGGCACCACAGAGAAATGTTTAGAGAACAGTGTAGAGAATATGCATACTGATGTCAGGATGTAAAGGGTTAAGAGCAAAAACACTTCATAAAATTCACCGCTGAAACCCATTTATGTCGGTTTTAAGAACTATTCGCAATCCACTATAATCTTTCCAATCCTCGACGTTACTTATTTGTTTATTCCTTCTCTTTGATATTTTCCACCTTAGTAAACGTTATTTCAAGGTTCAATTTCTTTGAAAGATAGCATTCAATGCTGGTCCTTTAAAACGAATTCCCTTAATAGTATCTAACTCGAAAGGTATCGGAAGGAATGTAGTTAGCTTTTACGCCCACCCGGTTAAAATTACGGTGCGGGGAGAATACTATTCCATTAGATGATGCAACAGCTAGCGCCTCACCTCCCAGAATCCATTGGATGCCGGGATATTTTTTGCTTCGTTTTCTATGATTCGTGCCACGGCTTACGCTAAAAAAGGGAATGACGGGATGAATCGTTTCTTCTCTCTTCCACTTTTTAATTGGTCTGGAAACTGAGTCGTACTCACTTTCTCAACCAATCAAGTCCAAAACTAAAACCCATCCTGATTCGCTTTTCCCCGTGCTGTTAGAAGCCGTTTACTTTCATTTAATCTGTTCAGAGCTACTCTTGGTGAGATGTATCAATTTTTTATTTAACGTCCTTCTGTGACAATCGTTTGCGGAAATCATTCGAAAAGCGCTTTACTTAGAATTTTCAAAGAAAAGAGAAAGCCGATTTTCCAGTTGAAGCTGGCAAAATCAAATACTACTTCATTCCATGTGAACTGAGTTTGAGTAAGCTGGGTCTTGCAGAACTAAAACGTGTTCATGAAAACAAAGAAGATACTGCTAATCTCCCTATTTGCTATGCTCTCGGAGGATTATTCTTTTGTTACAGGAAATGAAATCCAAATAACCACATAATATTCTATTAAATACACACAAACATCTCGGCAAAAGTAAATTTTCAAAAACCAAATACATAGACACGATTAAAAATCAGAATTTTGTGTAATTTTATATTAGCTATTATCCACAGATTGGATCCTCTGTGGAGATTATTTGATTAAATTTTACTCATTCGTTTTCTCATTATTGGGTTAATAACGGGGTTGTCTAATCTGACTGAAATGGGACAATATATCGCATTCTAATCGTCAACAAATAAAAGAGTTAGTTATAAAGGACCCTGTGTTAACGCTTGTTCAGCTGCATAAGGACTAACCTCATACAATTTAACTGCCGTGTTCGCAACAGGTAAGTCTTATAAGGAACACAAACGCAGTTTTCATTCGCTCGCTTACAAAAAGCAACTCTGGTCCAAAGAACTTCTGGTACGTAAAGAGCTTCCGCGGTAAAATATTTCGTCTTTTTTCCCTTCTTTTTTTCACGTTTCATTCCACTTACTTTCCATGAGATTTTTCCCTTGTTAAAAAAACCTGAACAAAGAGGATTTGATGGTAAACACCGTTTTTCCCTGCACATTCTAAAAGGATAGACCATATATGATTCTCTAACTATTCAGTTTTATCGTATGAAGAATATAAGACTAGATTATACAATATTCTATTACAGGCTTACGCTAGGAGTAGCTTGCCTTTGATACCTGCTTAACCCGAAGTAGTTGAGTCTCAGAGCCGCTGTTGTTTGTCTCCGTTTTCTGTCGCATACGAAAATCAAGGGTATCGGTCTAAAGGGTATCGTTCTCCCCCTGGATGGGATACTATTCCACCACAGCTTATCCTTTGGGTTTCGTCAGATTTCCCCGACAATTCGCCACTTATATCAATTTATACTCCTGACTGGAGAGGCAATGTGATGGCCTTTGAGCACGGTTAGTCAAGGACACGGCTGATCTTAAGGATGGCCAAAACCAACTTGCAGACTTCCTGAAACAAGTAAACTAACTTAAGCAATGGCACAACAACGTACGTTTCACATTATCAGCGTAAAATTCAATATTTCCGTGTTTTGATCATTAATTCAAGTTTTGAACCGAGTAAACCTTTATATGAATTCAAAATATAGGTGCAGGTGCTATCAATTTCCACTTTCAATAATACTCAGCCTATGTAATAAAAATGAGCTAAGAAAAAGGAACTTCCTTTGATCAGAGTGATCAATTTTTAATTTTTACCTTTTTCTTATCAATTTTTTTCCATATTCAAACTATTTTGGAAAAAATTCAAAATCACAGTGTTCAGTACATTACAGAAATTTCATCTTGGAGAAATAATTATGGTTTAGTTTTCGTCCCGCATTAATTGTAGGAGAACAATTGAAACGCATATAAAACTTTCCATATATACGTAGCCATGTTAAATAGTCCTGCTTTTTTCAAGTCATGATATTGACAGATCAAGTAAGGTTTTTTCCATCTAATCGGCATGTTGCTTTATTTTACAAAATTATACTTTATTGACAAAAGAGATAATTGAAAACCTAAAATAAACATTGTGTTAAGTAAACTTGTCAGACTTAACCAAACATTGCACATGTCTTAAAACATCACATGACAAATAATTGATTTTGTGTTCTTGGTCAAATTGAAAATCTTAGTAAATAAGAAGGAGAGGTAATGTCTTCTTCATTGCAGCCTGGCATGAGTTCTTATTGCAGATTTCCCTTTAAAAATAAGAAAAAAATAAAACTCGGCTTAATTTGACCGAAAATGAAGAATGGTCCTCGGCATTTCTTCGCAAAACTATTTTTTATCAGAAGTATTTTTTTAAGTCTTGCTTGATTATTACATCGACTCTCTTTCCTCTCAAACAGACAAATATTTCCCTCAACATGAGAACTTTATTGTTCATCTGTGGAATTCTTCTTTTTGCCAGTTTTACGAAAAGTAAGTATCGACAACTCTAGTGGAGAATTATGATTAAGTGTTCCACTTTTAAGGTGGCTATGTAACAACAAGATAGAACATTTCCGACGTTGCAGAAACTTAGAGCTTGGAAAGTCATTTGTTATCAAGGGTTTACCAATACCCTTTTTACAAACACGGAGGCAAGCGTTAAACTTTATTCATGACAGTCTTTAATCTGTTGTATTCTAAAGATTCCCCGTCATTGGTAAACAATTTTCTACAGTACCCCCAATATATTCTCTTATTGCGGACAACTGATCTCCCCTCTGTTCCCCCCTGAATACCATTTGATCCTCCAAAATCCCATGACCTCCCCAACCAGGTGGCAAATTATCACTCGTCCCTAATATTTTTTAAAACTTGTAGGCTCAGTTGGAAACCCGGTGCCAAGTGAAGGTAAGTTGTTTGAGTAAAGTTTACGTCTGGTGTGACTTTGGTACATTTTCTGCAGCAAATGCGTTCATAAAATTTAAGAGTTGTTTTTTTTTCTCTTTACATTTATGTTTTAGCGGAGGCTGGCGCTTGTAGCGTGGAAAACAAAGAATGGCAAATTGGATGTGACCATTGCTATTGCCGAAACCAATCAGTGTTTTGTGAAACAGACCCAGGCTGCGAGGAAAAAAAATAATGATGATAAGTACGAATTTATCTGGTCACTAGTATTTGCATGATCCTTCAAGGCTTGTGTGTCATTCTATATATTCCATGACTTCCTCTGGTTAACTTGAAGTTTAGTTCCCAGGCGTTCACTCTCGCCTAATTTTCCGCGCAAAGCCTGGGAATTAGCGAGGGAGTGGCTTTCGATGGCGTCACGAGTCCAAGTTTGACCAACCTGAGAACGTGATAGAATTTTGTTGGATATATGTAGTTTTGTCTTGTAAGAAATTGTAATGTTTGTCCCGCGCGCGACAAAAAATTGATATGCAATTGAAGTGCTTTAAAAACCTTGATGTAATCGTTATTTACTTCTTATGAAATCTTCAACTTTATCGCCATTGGATATGAAATAAATATACTAGTTGTGATACGGTTGGAATTAGCTTCTCTTCTAATGTGTCTAACAATCCAGTATCCCTATAAACTCGGTGATTAAGTAAAAGGGTCTGGGTACAAGACTAGGATTATACAAGTCCAAGCGATGCCAATCAAACCCTTTGAACCTCGTTCTCAATCGTATTGTCCAAGAGAGGACCATGGCTATGAGTTTGATAAACTTAAAACATGAACCTTTGTATGTAACTTTCCAATAATGTTATCATATCTCACAGATTTTATATATTCTCTCTTTAGGCATTTGAATTTTCGTGGGGGCTTTATCTTTAAAAGGAGCAAGACATCATCCCCACCCTTTGGTTGGAGATCGAGAGTTATTTAAGTATATGAGATGGAAAATAAAGTAGAAACAGAAAAATGAGTAGACATGGTGTGATTTATTTTCATTCGATAAGCCTTTGGCTACTGAAGCTCATCCACAGAAAAGGTTGCACGTTAACCGGGGGTCTTAAAACATAGTATGAAAAAATTTTCATGAAAATATTTCAAACTAGCACTTTGACAGTATTTAAACAATCCAAATTTCCGAAAGGGGGAATATTTCAAAATAGTTGGAACTGGAGTTTTAGCTAGCTGCCGTTTCGTCACACCAACTCAAACAAAAACGACACCATGAGATTATTATATATAATCTATAATATATAATCGCATAACGAACGATCCGACCCAGGTGATCCGTGACTCGACCCAAACTTCTTCGTTATGCTCCGCAGATATTATCGCTCCGTATATAGACTTCGCTCCGTTTTATCAAATGAATGCCTGGAACAGGCTAATGGACAAAGGGGGAAGGGAAAGATGGGTATTTTAAGATAATTTGGTTTATCACCTGAGTTGATAAAGTAATTTGGCCACCTTAAAGAGTTTCTAAAGTTGACGTTGCGAGCATTCGCCCTTTTGTCATTAAAGGCTATGCACTGAGAGGTTCGAAGGTTGTCAAGTGTCCCGTACGCTGAAGAGATGTCGAAAGTGTCCTTCCGTGCCGACAAGTTCAATTTGAGGGTTGTTCAGTATTTGATCGAGAGTGAGGAAAAGAAGATATAGACAATCTATGACGTGTTCTTCTTCGCTTTGCGTGGTTCCTTTCATTCAAATGTTTCTCATATATTATATTAGCTAATCAGGATTCATACTCGGCTGTAAGTCACCCTGTACCTCCCTATCAGTTTTCTAGGACTCTGTAATAGAACGGACAGCAAGTGGAGCGAGTTTTAATGCTTGCAAGCCGCCTCACTATCTCATTGCCTGAGTGAAAAAGTGTGAAGTGTTGTAAGATCTAAATTCCTCAAGTCCACAGGTACATGGTCGTTTTCACTTTACAGTAGATTCCAGGCTTCTCTCGTCCAAGTACATTCACTTCGAGAGTCGATCGGGAAGTCCAGTCAATTGACCGTGGAAAGTAAGGCCATTAATTGCCGGTTAATCATCTCAGAGATCAGATCATCAACAGACTAAACATGAAAATACTTGAAACTGTGGTAAGCTCTTGTCCTGTTGTCGTATTGCGTGAAGTAGGCATTCTTAGGTAATTTAAGTGAGTTTGTTAAAACGGCATGCTTGCTGACGAATGTGGAATTTTTCATCTGCTCTTCCCGAGTGTTTGTTTGCGTGCCGCGTATAAATTTTAGAATACCGGTTTATTCGCCAATTTCATTACCTTCAGATGATATTTGCTAATACCTAAATTGACATCTGTTGTTAGTTTGTAAGATTACAAAATCGTCGTGTAACCATCAGTTTTGTCGCCCAGTCGATCTTGTACTTCGTCAACATAAATTAAAATCACATGAGGCTTCTAGAAGCCTCATGCGATCTGTTATATAATCAAGGGAGATGAGAGATTCGAAGCCAAATGGTGTTAAAACCTGCAAAGGCCTGCCTTAAATTCGTACAGCTCAGCATTTATTTTCGTCCATACCACGGTTTTCTAATTTTGATCAGCTTCTATATTCAGCTGGGAATTAATTGATTAATCATTCACGAGATAATGGTGTTCTACGTTGCGTGAGAAAGCTTTTTATCGTCTTTCTAGAAAACGACACAAAAGGAGCAGAAATAGAAAACTTTACATAAATATAACAAAACACCAGCGTATATAATGGACTTGGCCTGAAGGCTAATCCATATCAGAGCACCCCTGAGAATGAATTTTCAAACTGATTGTAATTTACAATTCAAATTAAATTTTGTATGGCCTCTTGTAACCAGCCAGTGTTTCCTACAAAGTACAAAGAAGATCATGGGGTTGACAACTATAGCTTGATGTCATAATATATATTTTTCCAAGAATCCTTGTTCTGTGGACTTAAAAAAAAACTTCTCCTTTCACTTTCACCACTGGATGAGCCTCCAATTAACCATTTTCATCTCCATTTATTTGTGCAAAAGTTTCACACTGTTATTCAAATTTTGGCAGTTTAGAGAATGTTTGTCACCTTAACCTAATGTACTTGCACACCTGCTTCCAAGTCTCCTGAAGTGCTGTGGTGGAGAATTAGAAGCTCTGATCAGGAAGGCTTACAAAAAGGGAGAACTGCTTGACACAAAAAAAATTAATTTCTTGTAGTTTTAGTCTTAAAAATAAAGTGTCTTAACCCTTTCACTCCCAAGATCTAATTAGTAATCTTCCTTACTATCTGCCACACAATTCGTATGATTTTAGTTCAGAGAATTTGGTATTGGATCAACTAATAATCCCATAGTTAATATTCTTCTCTATTCCCATCACCTGCCTGCTTGATTTTGTATTGATAATGTAAGGAGAAATTCAGTCTTGGTCACTTGTGAGAGTGATAGGGTTAACTACTTTTGTCACTTATTGTCAGTAGATCTACAGTTGTCGGCCATCAATGTTTTATACTTTCTTGTCTCACAGAACAAATATTTTACAGTTTCCATTTTGTTAATTAAGGATAGCTTTGAGTAATAATTACTTAAAAAAAATTATTTTTTTTCTTATTTCTTGTTCCATTTTATTGTTGTGGTGTATAAGTTTATGTGAATGGTTCAGCCTAACCCTAGCCCTAACCCTAAGCAATTTATAAGAAAATATTAATGTGATCCACAATAATTTTCTTAATGTGGATTCTTTAATGTTAGTCTCTGTAGTGTTGATATTGCTAATTGTTTTGTTTTATGGATTGGCAACAGTGTTCTGTCCAAACACATTTTCAGGGATATTTTGCATGAAATCTTTGTGGAAAAACTTAGTTTTGTAATATTCAGTCAAGCAGGAGAATGTTATTGTCAAACTTTAATTATTCAAACTCGGGTGATTGGGATGAATTGTTGGTATAATCAAGAATCCAGATAATCGAGAGTGAGAAAATCATCCCAGAGATAAGATCATCAACAGACTAAACATGAAAATACTTGAAACTGTGATAAACTCTTTTCTTGTTGTTGTATTGTGTGGAGTAGGTATTCTCAGGTTATGAAAGTGAGTTTGATAAAAATAATGGCATGCTTGCTGATGAATATGGAATTTTTCAGCTGCTCTTCCCAAGTGTTTGTTTGTTTATCTGCCAATTTCATTACCTGTAGATAATACTTGCTAATACTTAAATTAGAATCTATCATCAGTTTGAAAGATTTCAAGATCACTTTATAACCATGTTAGTGCCTTGTAGACCTTCAACTGAGTCAACATAAAGTAAAATCACACGAGGCTACAAAAATCTATGATCTGTTACATGGTTAGATGGAGATGAGAAATTCCGAGCCAAATAGTATTAAAATCTGCAAAGGCCTGCCTTAGATTTGTGCAGCCTTGTATTTATTTTCATCTATACCACAGTTTGCCAATTTTGATCGACTTCTATATTTAGCTGGGAATTAATTTATGAGACATGATGGTTGTTCTACGTTGCACAAGAAAGCTTTTTATTGCCTTTCTAGAAAATGAAACAAAAGGAACAGAAATAGAAAACATTACATAAGTATAACAAAACATCAGAATCTCTAGTGGACTTGGCCTGAGGGCTGATCCATAATTCTTTGGTGTCACTCTCTCAAGAATTGTTATTGCTAGCTGTTTTCTTTTGTGGATTGGCAACAGTGCTCTGCCCAACACACATTTTCAGGGGTATTTTGCATGAAATATTTGCAGGAAAACTTAGTTTTGTAATATTCAGTCAAGCAAGAGAATGTTATTGTCAAACCTTAATTATTCAAACCTGGGGGATTGGGATGAATTTTTGTTATAATCAAGAATCCAGATCATCGAGAGTAAGAAAATTATCTCAGGGATAAGATCATTGACAGACTAGACATGAAAATACTTGAAACTGTGGTAAGCTCTTTTCTTGTTGTTGTATTGTGTGGAGTAGGCATCCTTAGGTAATGCAAGTGAGTTTGATAAAATGGCATGCTTGGTGGCGAATATAGAATTTTTCAGCTGCTCCTCACGAGTGTTTGTGTGTCGCATAATATTTAAGAATACTGGTTTATCTGCCAATTTCATTACCTGTAGATAATACTTGCTAATACCTAAATTAGAATCTATCATAAGTTTGTGAGATTTCAAGGTTACTGTATAACCATGTTAGTGCCTAGTAGACCTTCAACTTCATCAACATAAAGTAAAATCACACAGGGCGGCTAGAATCTATGATCTGTTACATAAGTAGATGGAGACGAGAAATTCCAAGCCAAACAGTATTAAAATCTGCAAAGGCCTGCCTTAAATTTGTGCAGCCCTGTATTTATTTTTGTCTATACCACAGTTTGCCAATTTTGATCAACTTCTATATTTAGCTGGGAATTAATTTATTAGGATGATGGATGTTCTATGTTGCATGAGAAAGCTTTTTATTGCCTTTCTAGAAAATGAAACAAAAGGAACAGAAATAGGAAACATTACATAAGTATAACAAAACATCAGAATCCCTAGTGGACTTAGGGATAATCCTTAAAATCCAGATAATCAAGGTTGAGCTGTACTGTGAAACTTAGAAAACCATGAACATAGATATATTTAAAGAATGTTTTTGCATTTTAGCTCATATCTTAACATCAGTATGCTTATTCTCTATACCTATACATATTGTAAGATGCTCAGGGCTCGAAATTAGCACTCACAAACTCGCGAAATGCGAGTGGTTTTTCGAAGTTGCGAGTCTAAAAAATATCCTCTAGCAAACTAGGTTCCTTCTTTTGCTAATAAAAAAAATCTTACTAGCAAAACTTTGCTAGTAGACAAAAAAGTTAAGTTCGAGCCCTGATGCTGATGCAAAGAATTATTTAACAGTCAGGAGGTTCTTTCGTTGGTTATCATTTCCTGAATTCTTTTGACTTAAATATGTGATTGAGTTAAATGCACTGACGCAACTGCAGAATGAGGTAAAGAAGCTTACTCTTATAACTGTTATACCCTGCCCTTCTCTGTGGTTTTTAATTGAGAAAATAGTCAGAGACTTATGCAGTGTTTAATTTTTGTGGGAATTTTTTTCTTGGAGAACATGTTTTAATGGCTTTGGAACTACTGGAAAATTGAGACCCTGTTAAGTTTTCATGCATCATAGTAGGTTCTGAAACTAAATTATTGAGTATTTGTTTTTGTACATAATTATGGTTGAATGAAATATATTTTTTCACCACAGGAAGAATTCGATCAATTCCTCAAAGATGCTGGTTCAAAACTGGTTGTCATAGACTTCTTTGCAGATTGGTGTGGACCATGCAAGATGATCGCCCCAAAATTTTTGGTAACATGGATAATTTTTTTCAACAGGACCAGTTAACTCTAAGATCTGATTGACAATTCTTCCTTCAAGCTGCTACACATTTCCTTTTAAACTAGTTACGAGTATTTGATGTCAGATCAAGATAACAAATTCTACCTGACAAGTTTGATTATTCTTGTTACTTTTTGCTGGATAATGTATGAATATAAAAGGGAGAGGTTACATGCTAATCACTTCTGCGAGTTAAAGGGTTAAATATATAAATGTTAAGTTAAATTCAACTTTCTAGGTTTAGTAACAACCTACTACAATTATCTGTCTCTTTTGTGATGGAAGTAACCCAAAAGGTTTCAAATGCATACCTCTAATGGAGCTCTTGGGTGACTACAATTTTTACCCCATGGAACAAACACTGTGATTGTTGTGGATCCTTGTCTGGTTTTTCAGACGATTCAGAGAACACTTTCATGATGTGGAATGAAATGACAAGAATGCATCCAAACCAGTTGCTAGACACTTTCATCTCCTTAATCATTCTAAACAACATATGGCAGTTTGCAGCCTCTCCTTACATCTAGGCAGTTCAGAAAGTCGCAAAACACTAGAACAAAAATTTATCTTCCAAATTGGCACTCTTAATCCCCATGGTATCAACAAGCGCTTTTCATTCAACTAATTTATTCTTGTTTTCTCATACTCCCACTGATAGTGTAGCTCCACTTGCTGCATATAAACCCACACACAACTCACAATTCCTCCAATCGCTCTGACGAAGGGCTAATGCCCGAAAAGTCAGCTTTTTTACTCTTTACGATGGCCAATTTATGTTTTCAACTCAGTTGTTAACACTAAATTACCTGGTTTTTCAAAGGATTCCTTTGTTGCTGAATACACAAAGTGTATTTGAAAGAAAATTTTAGCAGCTGGAGTTTTGATGGAGATGTTTGAATTATGCTTAATAGGTACAATATTTTTTTCAACTAAATGCCACCCTTAGTTAATTGTCACAGATGGAAGCAAAGGTACCAAATTGAATGATGAATGCCATCCTTGGAGAAACACAGCACCTGATCAGAAGAATGCAGCATTTAATATGTAACACTTCTACTTCCAATTGTGACCTGGACATGGTTTCTGTTTCAATTATCAATATGATATCAAGCAGAAAAGTGATGAGAATGATGAAAAACCTCAAATAAGGGGATTATCATCTGATCAAGTACTAAATTCTCAGAACTAAAATTAAAGTCAATGTATTGCTGGCAGTAAAAAGAGTCACTAAAAAGATCTTGGAAGTGAAAGGGTTAATGTTTATCAGATACTGTAATAAACTAATGAAAACAGCAATGTATAGTATCTAGAGGAGAGAATTAACAATCATATCTTGGGAGTTAAATGGTCATCTTGGAAACTGGGTTAAAATTATTTCAATGATTAAAGGTTGATTTTCTTGTTAAACTCCATTAATTATATCAATAGATATAATTCTTTTTTAGAAAATGGCTGATGATTTCAAGGGGGAAGTGGAGTTTGCAAAGGTGAATGTGGATGAAAATTTGGTAAGTTGGCTTTGCTTGAGCATTGATTCAGCTCTGAAAGTTTACCTATAAAATGTTATGATCATAATTTATAGATGTCCCGTAGTTGAAGCATCTGACTGCAAAATGAACTGCAGTAGTGCTGCAAGTGAATTGACTAAAAGAGGAATACAGTAGTGTAAACTGCTGCTTATAACTCCAGGGCTTATACAACTGCGTAAGGGGTTTAGAAGGGCTTTTTTATGATCCTTTGTCCCCTATGAATGACCAGCATTTATCTTCTCCTTACAGTATCACCCCTGAATCATATGTTAAGGTCATAAAAATAAAGGAAATGGTCCCCAACTAAAGAAGCTCTTGATTGTTAGAAAAATTCTCCTAGTCAGCTCTCAAGGAAATGTATAGAGAACAGTACTGACAAAATACATGCTAATGTGAGGGTGTAAAGGGTTTGACAGAGGGGCTTATATCTAGAACAGAAAAAGCGCTCAAAACAAGTTATAGCAGAGCTGATCAAGATATGTTATGCTTTCAGATGTCACAAAAATTTAATTTGTTTCAATAAATTTGCAACAGAATTAAACCTGGCAACACTAATAAAACTGGCATGTAGCAAAACAGAAGTTCAGTCTTTTTCCTTAAAGTTCATGTTTGCTCAGATTCAACTGATTCAGCAAGGGGTTCTTATCTCTTAAAACAAGAAGAGGTGGACAGGGGCTCATATCTGGGGGGGGGCAATCAAAAGTATTTTCTTTTGTTTTACAGGTAGATGGGCTTACATGTATAACTAGTATGGCTTAGTGATAGGGGTGTTTATAGCTGATGTTGACAACATGCACATGGAGCAATTTTCTGAGTTTGACAATTATACATTTGTGTTGTATATCTGAATACAGGACACTGCTGAAAAAGAGGAGATTTCAGCTATGCCAACTTTTAAGTTTTACAAAAATGGTGCTAAGGTGAGTCACTTTCCATATTGCAAGTATTATTGCTCAGAAATGATCATTATTAGTATTTGTAAGTGTTAACTTTCTTAATTTTCTGCTTGAGCATGGAATGTTCACAGAAGGATTTCAACCTCAGACTTTCTGTGCCAATTAAATAGCTACCGCAGTTTCTGTGATGTAAATATTGACATCCAAGCTCTGTTGACTTGTTCTTTTTTTTCCTTTTTTTTTATTTCTTTTTGTAGATAGATGAAGTCACTGGAGCAAGAGAGGATCAAATTCTTGAAAAAATCAAGATGTATAAATGATGACTTTGGATTTCAAAGGGGAACAAGTTCTTCACACTGTTGATTTTTTCTTTCAAGATTATTGATTGTAACAAACATGCATTAGAAATACTGTACTTCAATAAAAGTGATAGACATGTATGAATATTGTGTGATCTGCAATTATTATATACTCTGAGGTCTGAGAGAATTGTTTTGTACTTATCAGTTGGGAAATGTTAATGTTGTTTATTCCTATTTACACCTGTCACTTGCACAATGTTTGGCGATTACATTTTAGGTAATTTTTTTTTATTGTGAGTTTACATAATTTAAGGCTCTTTGAAAAGTATTTGCCAACGTTTTTTCTGCATTTCAATTAGTTGTCTGTTTACTTGATGGTTTGTTTGATGTCTTTTTTTCAGAGATTTTCATCATCTACCATTCCAAGGTTTTCCTTGGAATTACAGACTTGTCCTCAGTAACAATTGACAGGTGTTGGGTAGGGTGGGGGGGGGGAGCTGAAGTGAGAAAGGGGCAGCAGCTTGGCTAGAGGTAGAGCTCTGCCAGCATCGGAGCTCTCTTATTGTTTAGGACAATGCGTGATGGGTTTGAAGCATGGAAATTAGTGATACCCCCTAGATACTTCTGGGTTCAACTGGAAGCAACATGTCTACACTGTAGGGCAAAATGACCACTTCTTGAGGCAAGGTCACTCAGCTAGGGGGAGGGGTGGGAGTAAGTTGGGGAGTTTGGCTAATGAGGTCATGTGACCGGCTTTCATCGACATCCTCATTTTCCTAATCTGCTTTGCATGGGTCCCTTCTTTTCTACAACTATCCATATCCCCTTTGAACAAATCCAGATTCATTGATCCTTGCATCACCAGTTCCCGTCTTGAAAGGCCAGCCATTTCAGTATTCATTGCTTAGTGAGCCGGTAAGCAGGAATTGATAGTTTTTCTTTATTACACACAGTATTAATATGAAATAATGATCATTAGTTTAAACTGTACATGTGCTGCTGTCGGTAGTTTCAAGTTAGAAATAATCATGTCAGCAGACTCTATCTTTTAAGCTTCAACTCATTAAAACTGATTTTCTTTCACACTTTTTCGGTTCAAAAAGAAAGAAGAAAAAATTCTATCTTTGATCTACATTAGCAAGATCTGAGCTCAGTTGAGTGTAGCAGTATATGTGTACATTATGAAGGGATAGCTGCTGCAATTGAGAGGCTGGTACCCAGTGAAGCGTTGAACAATCAGAACAGGCTTTCTGTGCCGGAGGCTGGAAATGCTCGGACGTGCAAAATTCGTTTGTCGCCTCTGTGTTATTCTCCTTCCCTGAATCCTCACTTCTGAGAGATGGAAAGGAGCAGCTCTGGGTGCGAGAACTCCTCTCTTTATACCACTTGAGTAAAAGAAACAAGGTTTCGAGAAACATGAATGCGCTTACTTAACATAATAGACAGAGAGAAAGGTGACAACAAGAAACGCGTCTGCAACAGGAAACGCGTTTGCGATCAGAAGCTGCTTTTTCTTTTAAAAGAGATACGTAATTTACTTATCTGCCGCGCTCTAAAATTAAAGGATGTTTGGCCGATCTTGATATTGCCATGGTAAAACTATTGAAATTTTGACTGAATTGTATATCCATTTTCTTGATTGTGCACAGTTTATCTTTTAATGTAATACTTATGACCATCACTGTTTTACTCAAACGCCGAAACAAATGAAAATCAAGGTCAAAATGAGATTAATAAAAATTCTAGTCTTTTTGTGTTTTTGTTTTTTTTCTTCGATGTAATGTTACTAATGGAGGCCAAGCGGAACTAGGAAAATGAAAAGAAACGTCACAATTAATAGAATTATTAGGGTTCTTCCAAGCGTGAGATCACGTTCCGAATATATTAGTTTGAAAATTTCCTGTTTGGAGTTATCAGTCGACCCATAACCTCCAGTCGAAATTCGACACTCCCGTTAAACTGATTTCCAGCGTGGAAGGGAAAATGAAAGAGTTAACGACTTTGGTAGGTATTATGATAAATTAATTGAAAAGTCGTCAGTTTAGCCTACGGTTGAAGGTGCAGTACATTTATTTTTAGAAAAGCTCTCTCATTTCGTTTCAACATACGTTGATTTGGTCATATTTTGAGGAGACCTGCAGCTCCATTTTAATGTTCAATAGATTTTATTTTGCTAACCATGGGAGGAGAATGTCTAATCTATGATAGAAAGCTTACAATATGCAGCTAAGATGTTGCGATCTTCATGACGGGTACTGTTTACATCATGAGAAGAGCGATGAATCGTCGTCATATCTGTACTTCATCCCAAGAACTACAACTCTGGGAAATAATTATAGTTCTGGATTTGCGTAGAGAGTGCAAAACAAAATGACTACCGAATTTTGAAACGATTCGAAACAGTGTTTGAAAAAAAATCTCTCGGTTATAATTTCGTTATTTACTCCTGTTTTGGATAAAAAGCTTTTAGTAATATGCTAGTTTTTTAATTGCGTCTGTTTATCTACCTACGTAGGCTGATTATTCAGCAAAAAAAAAAAAATCATTTCTAAAGATGTGCTGTAATTTCAATGAGGGAAAATTCGCTTTTAACCAATATAATCTGTTGTAATGACAGCCCGTGAGGCAACTTAACAGCTGTCAAAGTAATATGAGAGCCATCATTAACAATTTCTTAGTATTACCCAACAGGTGCAATATTGTTAACTAGAAAATTATTGATAGCCGACAACAAAATGGAACTCAACCAGTTGGGCATAAGATAAAATATGGGCTGGATCACTAGATCCTTGGACTTTTGGACTATTTTTTGGACCAATTTTTGGACCATTTATTGGGAGGAGGTAGACCATTAGTACTAAGGGAGGGGCGCGATGCGGTCTATCAGTGCTCAGAGAGGGGTGCATGGGAGGCAAACTGTCGTTACTGAGGGAGGGGTGGAAGACGAACTATTAGTACGCAGGGAGGGGTGGGAGGTTGTTTTTTTTTGTCACGCGAGTGCGAAACTCGCACCCAAACACTGGACTATAATTGTTATTGAAAATATCGCTAATGTCAGTTTTCGATCCTCCACTGTTGGGTCACGCGTGTACCTTTTAAGTCGACTTGTGCCAGTGCTTAATGGTACACGCTAGTTAACATGAATCATCCACTAGTTGCTTCACGTTTTCCTTGGTGAATACAATATATCATGACCAAAAATAAAGAAACGCTACGAGTCAGCGCAAAAGTTTTGACATAAAAATAGTCAGTCGAAAAACCGCTCAAAATAATTTGAATGATCCATTAAAAACTCTATTGATCAGTATCATATAAACACTTTTAAAGAAAAACTACGTCATTTCAGATGAGTCAGTCATGTATTTACCCCCTTTTTTTCTAATCAAGGTTTTATCTCTCTTGCTTAGCACAGCATATAAAATGTTTTGACTCCCTGCCTCAGCCGTAAGCGGAAGACGCCTTGTGTTTCAGTTGCAAAATCTTATTGCCTTTAGTATCACATATTCCAGAAGTAAAGAGTATCTCAGGGTTTAAAGACTGGCATTTTTCTCTTGATCATTTCCATTAGAACATGAAGTTTTAATTTAGCTACAAAATTGTCTGGCTTGTGCGATGAGTTTACTTTTGAGATCTCAAAACTTGCATTAACCCTTAACACCCTAACATCAGAATCTATATTCTCCGTACTATTCACCATACATTTCCCAAGGTGCTGACAAGGAGAAGTTGTTTGATAATCAAGAGCTACTTTAGTTGGTGATCATTTCTTCCATTCTCATTACCTTGATGTTTGGTTCAAGGGTGGACACTCTTAGGGGTTAAAGGCTTAAAAGCTTCATTTTGTTTTTGTTTCACACAGAAAGAACTGAATGAGCTTCTTGAAAGTAGCGGAGTCAAGTTGGTCGTAATCGACTTTTTTGCCGATTGGTGTGGTCCTTGCAAGATAATGGGACCTAAGTTTGAGGTATTCGAATATCGAACAAATTTCTTTCATAAAAACTTAAAGGGATTAGCGTAGTGTATCTAATGCAAGTAAGCAAACCTCAGTGATACAGTCATAAAGGGTCTGAAAATTTGTGCCAAAGGCTTCTAACAGATTAAGGCTTTTTCCTTATCTTCTATAATTCAGTCACGCACACCGTCCTTTCCGGGACAAGGGTAACTGGGTTACAGAGTTCATGGGGTGCCTGTGACTCCGTACACGTCTTAAAATAAAATATCTCTTGTTAATGACCTGTTATGCTCCCAATCTTCAGTGAGAGCCTGGTAAAGGGTCCTTCCGCCCCCACCCTACCCCCAAACTATTTTTTTTATCTATTGTGCTGTTGATTATCATTTTTTCATAGGAATTGGCCATGGAGTTCCCTGGTGTTGTATTCGCCAAAGTAAACATTGAGAGGGGAAAGGTATGCATGAGAGGAGAGTTGACAGCCAATGAGGTGCACTGTCACTCGCGAACATATGATTTTCCGAATGAAGTAATCCTTATTTTTCAGATTTTTGGTCTATATTTTGATATGTCATGAGAGGATTCATTTGCTCGCAGCCATAGCATATTGCATGAGCCTCTTTCTCACTGATTGACATATCAATTTTTCCCCCTTTTATCGTCCGGTGGAAATGTTTCCTTTCCCTTTTTCTGCACAGTTTTTGCGTTCACTGGAGAGGTCAGTTAAGCATTTATCGGGATTACGAATGAATGCACAGGAAATGAAGATTCGTAAGAATCCCGTGATCGCTAAGGGAAAAGGTGCAATCGTATGCAGTTTAGTAAGAAATGAATGGAAATAGGTATTCCAATTGGGAAACTGAAACGCTTTGCTGAAAATAGCCTGACCTTCACCAATAAATAAAAACCAACTGCAAGCAAACCAGAACAAGTATGACCGGAAATAAATTTGAGGAGTTGGTTCCAGTCTTTCAGCTCCGGTCATAAGTGCTGATAAGTTAGCAGGAGGCCAAAATGCCATTAACTTGACAACTTGAATTTGAAATCAATTATATATTTTTCAGGAGCCAACCAAACATTATAGTATTACCTCTATTCCACATTTCAAGTTTTTCAAGGAAAAAAAGGTAATCAACACAAAATTATTTTATACAAACTTGCCTTCTTGAATATCATTTGCTATACTGAGTTATCCTCACTGATTTCCTTTTTTTACTAATTTTAGGAAGTGGATAACCTCAGAGGCGCTGATGAAACAATTCTTACACAAAAAATTGAAAAATGGCAGTAATCGTGGAGTTGATTTAAAAAGTGAACACATTTTTGATTAGAGAAAATTATTTGTACTGAAAGAATATCCTGCTTAGCTTGAGATTTATTTGTGATCCAGCTTTTGAATTAATATTGGTCGATGCTTTAGCCTGTACATTTTGAGTCCATCTATTTATTTCATGTAGTTGTAAAGGGTTGATACAGTAAACTAGATCCATCTGCCGAAGAAAAGTTGTTTGATTAGCCTTTGCTGTAATATCATTTTTTTCAATTTTCAGTCTCACCCTAGTTGTCACTTAGATCAAGCTGATGCGATTTTTTCATTTTTAGCATTTAACCCTTAAAGGCCCAAGAGTGACTGATATCTTATCTCTCCTTAAAGTATTACCCTTAAATCGATTGTAAAGGTCATGAGAAAAAAAGGAAACGATCACCAACTCAAGAAACTCTCACCGCTTATGTCAAAATTTGAAATATCATCGTCACAGGTTTTCGTTAATTTAAACACACGTTACTCTGTTGACAAGTTTAATGACCCTGTGTTTGAATTGAATTGAAGGCAACTGCCTGTCTGTGTAAATACATCATTGAGACGTACATAGAGAGAACAAATCATGAACATTGAAAACCCTGAAAAAGTACACCAGACCAGAAATCGCCTTTGCTTAGCCTTTTGTATTTTTGTTTATATTCCGTAATGGTATCCCGTAATTATTTGCAGTGGGTCCGTATGAAACGACATTGTTTTATCGTCCAATCAAAAGTGGACTGTATGCTGAACACAAAATATAATTGGCGCAGCTTTTCCGGCGTAAGCGTCTCTTTCTTTTTATTCTTTGCAATAAAAATGCACTGTATTTTTTCAACCGGAAAACACCTGGACTTAGATTAACGAAAACAGCAACAACACAAATTTCAGCGCGGAGCAACCGTTTTCTCAGAGAGAAACCAAGATTTTTGTGAGCCCCAGAAGTTTAAATATTGAGGGATTTCATTTTGCAAGGCATAGAGGTGAGTTCTTTTGAAAAACAATGGTGTAGGTTCTTGTATTTCCGGCCGGCCTACGTCCGCTGAAGCTAAATGTTGATATTTTTAATATTTCATGTTCATATAATTCAAGATATATTTATTTCGTACGGGCTGGTCGCTCTATATAGGTATTAAATAATGACAGTTTGAATTTTCGAAATAATTTAGCCGTTTCTCTTTCAGTTCCAAAGCAAAAAGCTTCACGAAATGTGAATTCTTTATGTGATTGAAAAAATGCAAACTGCAGCAGCCAAAGATGAAATTTGAATAAAATTAACTGTAGTAATGCCTCTGACATCTTTAATGATCTTTCCTTCGCGGTAAGTACGGTATATATTTTGCATAAATTTGCTACACATTTTTAAAACAAAATGTCATGCAAACCGAAGCGACGGAGAAGAAAAATTAAACGCAATGTTTCATCGGCATTTTATGGAAAATCTTTCCGAAATTTACCTCTTTGCTTTTGGTAAATACGTGACTGACTAGTCTAAAATTTAACTCATTTCAATCTGGCGGGGTGCGAAACAAATTCATTTTTAGAAATAAAAGCAGCGTGGGTTTGGTTTTAGTTGAGTCGATCGATCATATCAATGTTATTACCCTCAAATATATACATACCAGAATTCCTTATCGAGTTAATTTATTAATTTAACTAATACCTAAACGTTGCTCTGTGAATATTATTTTCTAAGGTGCATCATTCTTATTCAGCAATTATTTATTTTTAAAATCATGAATTCCTTACAAAAATAGAAAAAAGAAGAAAATGGCAAGTTAAATGCGTACATTCAACTTTCCTTATTTAAATCTTACTACTCATTCACTAAAGGAAAGGAGACTCGATTGCGATTGGCTCCTAAAACAATGGCTAACCGGTAGTAACGACACCAATTAAATATCAACACAGAAAGTTCCTCAGTGAATATATATAATGGAGAGAAAATTGAACTTGGATTTGAAACTCTTCGGCTGAATCTAAACCAAATTAGTTAACATTTTCGTATCGACACGCTCTGCACTTGTGATTTCCTCGGTTTTTATTTTTTTTTTCTGCTGTTGTGGCTCGAGCTTACTTTATTTCGGCTCTTCGTTATTGAATGTAAACCTCCGTAATTATTTCCTTCGTGTACACCTGCCTGTAATTTCCCCTACTCTTTCACATTAATGTCCATTTGTTTTTGGTCGTTTCCGATCAGTCGTTAACGTTCTTGTTATAAATCAAACGCGAATCGCCAGTCGTTCGTTTTAAGATCGGTTATTGGTGTTCTACTTTCCTTTTCATTCGTAACTCTACTCTGTTTACTGAAATGCAGTTCAATTATCAAGTTCATCACGTTACGATACGCTTACACATATTTTTTCGGTTTTCAAAAAAATCCTTGCGAGTTTCTTTTTTATATTTCCATCATCGTCTTTCTTGGTGACAATTTATTGATTCTGTATGGAGAAATTACAACCCCCCCCCCACATACCCACTCACTCACACCATCCTCACATCATCCTCTAAACCAATCACATGCGGAGCTAAAAACAGTCGCGACTAGTTCACCTGCGTTTTCCCGCGCTTCAAGCAATTTGCTTGTTTTTATTTTGAGTTGTGATTGGTTCCTTCTGACATTAACCTTTGACCTGACTGGCCGTTGTGATTACTTTAGTTTGGACTTCATGTAGTCAACCTTAAATGTTTCTAACATACAATTAAGAAGACCTTTCCTGTTAATCAATGAAATGATGAAAGCAGATGAAAACGTCATAATAGTTATCAATGGTAATATCTACAGTTGCTTAATGAAGTTATTTTTAATCCTAATAAATAAACATTTAAAGAGACATTAATAGTTGGCGGGATCATAAGTTGATCCAGTACCAAAATCTCCCAACTAACATCCCAAGAATTGTACGGCAGACAGTAAGGAGAATTACTTGTGAGATCGGGAGTGAAAGGGTTAAAAACGAACTGATTTTTCTTCAAGTTTAGCCAAAATAAAAAAATTGGTATAGCTTCAAATGGTAAAATGACCCGAAAGGAATAATAATGATCTAAAACAGATCAAGAAGGGAGAAATTTGAAAAGATTGCAAACCACAAACTTGAGAATGGTTCTTCAATATTCACAGACAGTGACGTAGTTACCTTTAAATCATATGGTAATCTTTTATGTTTGTTCATGCACCGCCTGTTCCGCATTCGACAAACAACACGCCAATTTTGTTTCCCTTCAAGACTGTCACTTTTCTAAAAGGTTAACAACAAAATATCATAACTTTTCAGCAAATATTACGAAGAAATGGAGTTCACCAATAAGGTGAGTTGTGTTTTTCATTAGTAATAACTAAAATACGACAGATAAATAACTTAAATCTCGGTTATTTATGGGAATTCAGCTGTTGACTCAATATTGGGTAATAAGCCGTCTATTTGAACACTTCACACCAAACGATGGGCTATGAGTCTAGACAACGGAGAGGTTTTTGATTCTGATGTTCGCATTCAAGAGGGGGAAAAGCTGAAATTTAAAAGAGCCGTGGATTTCAGACTTTCGTGAGCGATTTGGAAACCAAATTTGCATTGTTAACTTTCGATTCTATTCCTTGTTTCCGCTTATGTTATTTATTATCATTGAGTCAAAACATCGATAAATTGAAGTTTAAACGAGTTTTCATTTTGATGAAAATGACGCGTTTTTCATTTAAAACGAACTTTCAATGAAAATTGATATTTAAAAGTATAACGAATTAAATCTACTCAGTTATGTATCTAGGTCAAATTTTAATATTTTTATGCATAATTAAAATGTCAACCACATCATGAGTTCTCATCACATCACGTTTGTATATATGATAAATTTCCTGCTTAAATGCTAAATGCTAACATGTCGTACCCAAACTTGAATTTATTTACAATTTACTGAGTATTTTAACATGATTCGTACGCACGTGAACGAGATTAGTGAAATGTTTTCCGTGACTTTTTGGCGATTTAAATGTACGAAGGATGTCGGACTCGTCTCCAGTCATCTTTCATTTGTCTATGGAAGCGTACGAGTGAGACGGGAATGAGTCTGATTGGTACGCAACTAAGGAGATGGCGGGAAAGTATTTTCTTCCCGTATCTCGTCGTGCGCCTATGCAGTGATAACTTGAAGAAAAATTCACCAACTAATCATACTAATATTTAATTTCATGTACAAACCATTTATTTTGCTTTTTTTTTTCCTTTTTATATAGGACGAGTATGAACAATTCCTAAAAAGTCCAGATAACAAAGATAAGCTGATAGTAATCGACTTTTATGCGGATTGGTGTGGTCCGTGCAGAAAAATCAAACCTGCCTTTAGGGTAAGTGACGAGATAAAGAACGGACGTTAGAAGAGCGCGGGGGGGAGGGGGGTGGGCTTTAAGATACATGTGAACCGTACCCCTCTCCTCTGGTACAAAAATTTGGAACGAAAGGTACCTTGATTTTCTTCTGATTTCCAATATAACGGTGACATTTAAGTCCCCAGCCCCACCCCCTTACCTCACTTTTTTTTTTTATCGTGGTTTCGTCATTCTTCAGTTTGTGACTGTATTAATGAGATATTGACAGATGTAGTTGCTCCAAATAAACATTTCTACTTCAGTTATCTTGAATGAAACATCTGTGTATATGTGTGAGGGCGGAAATTTGCGCCCAAAAGATTGGTGTAAAAAATTTGCATGTTCTTTTAACAGAAACTCGCTGCCAAGTTTACTGATGTAGTCTTCGCAAAAATTGATGTTGACGAAGCTGAAGTAAGTGAACAACTATTGAACAGAAAGACACAAATAGCGAATGAAAAAAAAAGTTTACTTTAATGACAGTTGATACTAGCAAACAGTGACGATGTGACTAAGATGACATTTATAGTCAAGATTACTCATGACGACATGTGATAACACCTGACAACACGTTTCTTTAGCTCAGTGGTAGAGTATCGGAGCGCAAAGTCCGAAGTTTTGATGTTCCATTCCTCGTGAGAGAATCAGATGTTTTTCTTTGTTCTGTGATCTTGATAAAAAGATAAACAGCATTCTTTAAGATGTTGTTGCTGTCTCTATTTTTCCGTTGGTAAATGACATCAATATGTCATGATAGCCTTGGATGGGGACAAAGGGCAGGTCATTGTGCGTTAGATGTGTATTGTTTTGTCTTTGTAGGCCATAGCCGAGGCGGAAAACGTAGAAGTCATGCCTACTTTTGTTTTTTACAAGAATGGAAACAAGGTAATCGAAACAAGGCACTTAAAGAAGAACTTACACGAGTTTTAATACAAGTGAAAAAATAAGTGGGCATGTCCAGCTCGCGTGAACAGAGACAATCATTGCGCAAAATGACTGCCGTCTGAAAAGTCTCACTATTCAAGTAGGCCGACACTGGCCGAGCATGCACATTTATTTTTGCCGCTGTGCTGTTTTACCTTCTAAGACACAAGCATGTGTTTTTCGAACGATAATGGCGATTAGAAAAACTATTGGGCATGCTAACGTTATATGATACCTCTCGCTTGAAGTTCAATGTCTTTAACCCTCTAACCCTGAGGGCGGCAAGCATCTCATTTCTCACTATGGTATCACTCCTGAATAAAACACTAGGCTCGTGAGAATTAAGCATATGATCCCAGATTTGAAAAGCTCTTGATTTTCATCTAAATTCTCCTTGCCAATTCCATAAGAAATGTATAGAGAACAGTATGGAGAATAAAAATGCTGATATTAGGGTGTAAAAAGTTGACTGAAACTATTTGCTTTGTTTTTCTTTTTATTCCAGTTACATTCATTCAGTGGATCAAACGAAAAGGACTTAGAAGAAAAAATAAAAGAACTTAAGTAGTATTCTTTCCTACATTTAACAAGGACAAAATTAAAAACTTTCCTTTTCTGTTATGACAATATTTTGACCGAAAGAATCACTCATATATTGATTTTAATGGAACCTAATGTTGTCGATGTTATTGTTGTAACTTGTGTGGAAATTCGAAACATGATTTATGATTTATATTGATTTTGTACCTAAGATTTTTATTTTGTATCTGGGTCAGGATAACCAAAGCGAACTGGGGCCTAACTTGTGCTGATGACTCACCAAACACTCTCAGTTCGTCTCAACATTTTATACGCAGACCCGCTGACGAAATCCCATCTCACTTTCCTTACCTCAGCCCTAGAGTTTCAGTAGTAAAACTCGTTTCTCCTTTGTTTTTCCGTTGTCGTGATGGCGGTAGCACAATATACAATCATTTTGAAAACAGAGAAGGCCCGGGTGACTTGTTTGGGTTCAGGGGAGGGCTATGGGTAATTGGAGGGAGGGGGTAGGGGCTGCTGAAGTAGAAGGGGGGGGGGGGATGGAGATGGAGAGTTTCTTTCAGAGTCTGAAATTTACGTCGTTTACCTCTGTTCCCTTATATCTCTGTCTACGTTTCCAGTCATGAACCAGGGAGAAAAAAGAGAAAAGGAATGCATGAGAAGATTGAGGAGGTAGAGAAAACACATGGAATGCACGCAAAAATGAAGACGAGAAAAAGTAATGGCGAGGGTATACTTAGTTTAGGGGGTTTGGAATGGGGTGGGGTCACGAGGAGACTCCTTGCAATTGGAAGAGAAGCACGAGGAATCACACCAGGGGTGTGTGCACATGGGCGTGGCGTGGGGAACTGAGAACGACCGAGAAACTGAGAACGGGGAACGTAAGATGTCTTTGGGGCAACCATAGAGTAACCACTTAGAGAATGCATCGAAAAGAGTTAATTCACGTGATGAAAATGGCACTAAATAAATGTTTTAATGGTCACATATTACAAGAAATGGCTCAAGTAAAGAACCGAAAAAGGTGATTTATTCTTGCTTTGATGAGATTCTTTCTAAATAATTACAAACTTTTTTCTCGTCGTTCTGGAGGAATGAAAGTGTCATTAATTTGATCCGTCATATTGAAAATGACATGGGGATTGTTTCAAGGCGTACTGCCAAACTTCTCAGAAGGTTCGGATGAGGTACTTACTTCAATTTGAAATCACTCAGGCTTAAAAGAATCTTCACTCTAATTGATCAAGAATTTCGATATTCCTATAGTTTTATTGAGAGGTAAGTGAGTGATCATTTATAGGTCTAAAACGATAGGCGAGCTTACGAGAAAACTTAAATCAATATTACAAAAACACCTAAAAAAAAACCTTAAATGAGGGTGAAGATTGGGGGATAGAGTATTTAGACATTAGATTTAAAAGTTCTTTGACGTAATACCTAAGGCGCTATGGTAAGTATCGAAAACATTTTTCAAAAGTTTTGAGAGAAATCACTACTGAACAGCTGACACCGGAAAAGGGAGATTAAACGTGAACGTGCCAGTATGGTCCAAGACGAGAATTACGGTATCGCTTTCAAATTCTCTCTTTTGTGATGATCACGGAGAAGGGGAGGTATCTGTGAGAGACTTGTGGCAGTTGTATGTGCGTTATGCAATGTAGTAAACCGACTTCGAATCGTTGCCTGAGACTATGGTCATGTTAACAGTGCCACACCTACTCGGCCTTAAAAGATGCGCACCGTCATATAAACACGCCACTTCTTCATGTAGTTCTATTTAAAGGTTTATTGCACAGTAGTCGAATGCATAGTTTTATTGGAGTACATACTGCGAAATGAAAGAAGATCAATTAACTGAGATTGATTTTGTTTTTACTACTTACATCTCTTTTCAGAGATGTGAGTAGTAACAAAGGAGGGTCTAGGGTATTGTTTTGTCTCTTTTTTTATGATCGTAGGCAACATTAATTCTCCAGTAAACATCACGTCATTTTTAGGAGCCGTAAGCTGAAAAATTTCTCCGGCGGATGATTACTTTAAAGGATACACTTACGCTCCATAGAAACTACACGCATAGATACGTAAACACGCTCGAAAACTGTCGTGGAATCGCTATTTTCGTGCGTGATCCGCGACTTGCGTGTTTTCGTTGATGCGAGGGAACTGGGATTAATAACAATTCAACATGGAAGCCTTCTGAAGTTGGTAGCTGGAGCGTCCACTGTCTTGAGGAAATTCAAGCTTGTTTTCAACTAAATGCGGATCATCCACACGGCTGGCGTTTAGGAACTGTTTTTGCTAGATTGGGGTCGTCTGAACATAAGGTTCATCCCAGGAGTGGCTGCAAAACAGAGTAATAAAGATCACGATAAACAAGCGTTCACACTACTTAGTGATCAAGCTTAGTACCGCGGAAAGAAAAATTGGGTAAACATGACATTTGCCAGAGGTAAGCATTATTTTAACAATGCTGGATGTAACAAAATGATTTTTTTTGTTAGTTGGTATATGAGGCTTTATCAAGGAGAAATATTGCTCAGGGCTTGCGGAAGGTTTCGTAATTTATTCAGCGCGATATTCAAAATATTATTTACACCACGTGCACGAGGTTTGCTGTTTCGAATGAATATCGCACCAAGTGGAAGCCACATTTCAGGTTGCTGCTGGCAAAAAAAAATAAAGAGATTTAAAATAAAAGTAAATGAATAAATAATAAGATAATAAACCCACAAGAGATCATTTTTAAGGTGTTGAAAAAAGGGTTTAAAAAATCAGGTTTTCCAAGTACTTCATCAAAATACTACTTCCGCTTTTTCTTTGTGCCAAAGAAATGTCATATTATAGAAAACCTCAAAACATAAACATGGAAAGAGACGAAAATACCTTAGATTAAATGATAGATGAATCAAGAGCCTTGATGATTGAGGATGGAGAAGATTGACTTAGATTACAATTGTTACAGCAAGAATATCTCTTTAATAATTTATGTATATAATTCTCGAGTACAAGGTGAGAGGAGAAACAAAAAGCAGAAAATTGATCCTTAAAGTTTGGAGCTTTAACCCTTTCAATCCAAAGATCTAATAAGTAATTCTTCTTACTGTCTGTCATACAATCTTTTGATATTAATTGGGAGAATTTAGTATTGGATCAACTTAAAGTCCCCTAGATTATATTTTGCTTTATTCTCATCACTTTTCTTCTTGATATGTGTTGATATTGTATGGAGAAGTTTTCTCTTGGTCACTCATGGGAGTTAAAGGGTTAACCCCCAAGAGCGATCGGCTTATAATTTCTCACTACAGTATCACTCCTTAATCAAACGTTAAGGTCATGAGAAGGAAAGAAATGATCATCAACCAAGGGATTCAATTATTTTGATAAAAGTTTTGGTTAAAAAAAACTCTTCTTATTGAGGCCTTATGTAAGCTTCATCAAGTTGTCTTTCTTAAAATTCTATCATTAAAACTTGGATATTTGACAGTAATTTCCATTTGTCAAAAATTTTTTCCAGTAATGAATGTTAATCATTCATTGCAGCAAAGAATGATAATAATAGTATAATAGTAATGATAATGATAGTAATTATGTGTTGTTTTTGTAATTTTACAGACCTCCAATTTTTATTTTAGAAAGAGAAAGACTTATATAATAACCATACAACAAACTTTACTTTGGGTCTAATATTAGCATAAATCCAAAAAGTTCATCAGAAACCATATGATTTTTATCTCTGCCCTTAAAAATAATACAGTAATTACAAATAACGATATCAAACTGACCAGAATCCACAGGGGATGCTAATTTTTTAGCACATATGAAGAACATTTTTGAATGTCCATAAAGTTTGCTTAGGTTTAAAGATGAATAATTTATAAGGCAAAAAAGTACATTTAAAAAGTAAAAAAAAAATGTTTTGTGACACTAGGTCACCATCAGGGTTATCTTTTAATGATTTTATAGCTGTAGAAAGTTTGCCAGTTCCTTTAGCTTTATGTACTCAATTGTCTCGTGTAATTCAACAGATAGATTGGTACAAGAGAACAAGCCTTGGAAAGACAAGCCTTGGTACTTGGATTGTAAACAAGTCATGGAAAGATAAGCTTTGGTTGGTGGCCTGTGAACAAGCCTTGGTACATTAACTGTGGACTAGGATTGGTTTGTTGGGCATTGGACAAGTCTTGGATGGTGGCATGTGGTCAAACCTTGAAGGGTGATCTTTGGACAAACCTGGGTGTGTGGACTGTGGATAAGCCTTGGTATTTGGCCTCTGTGCAAGTTCCAGTGAGTGGCATATGGAATAGTCTTAGTTGGTGGCCTGTGGACAGGCCTTGGTACTTGGCCCATGGATAAGTCTTGGTGGCCAATGGACAACCATGGATCTTGGATCAGAGTGGTCGTCTGATGGGGCTGAATGATAAATGATAAACCAGAAGGACAAAATGCAACAGGTAAGATATAAACATTTTTGTTTCCTGTACTGGACATTTGTAATCAAACAAGACTTGGATGGGTACCTGGAACCCTAAAGACATTTCTTTGTAGCTTGTCATAATGCATGCTTACTCTGCAAATATGATAATGCTGTAGGAACTGCACTCAGATCACAAATGCACTTCCTGAATGTCATGTCATGGTCGCATGAGCGAATGTCTCATTATAGCAACTGAGCTTGTGCTGACTTCCTCAGCATGAAACAACCAGGGCCCATTTGTTCAAAGGGCAGATAATACTATCCAACTGATAAATCACTATTCAGTGGATAAGTTTTACCAAAACATATTGCACTAGCCACCTTATAGAGATTTATCTGTTGGATAGTGTAATGCAATCTTTGAACAAGTGCATTCTGAAGTCTTTCCTGGAGGATGTGATGTAAGTCTGTCACAAGTTACACCTCAGCTATTTTCCCTTAAGTTTCTTAAAGTTTACTGAATGAAGAGAGAGGCACTGGATGAGTAAATTGTTTTGCTCAAGATTCATTGAAAATTGAAGTACATGATTTTTAGTCACTATAATATCTAAAAACCAACATGAAGCTAATACTAGAGTAAACTAGACCAAAACACTGATCTGTTCCCAGCTTTTGTTGTACCCTTTTTGCCCTTGAAGATGAAAATATAAATTCCTTACAGTTTCTTCCTAGGAACAATTATCATTCTAGTGGGGGGAATTTGGTACTTGATCAAACATTATCTCCAAGTTAACATTTCTCTTTGCTCAGCTCCATTT